TATTTGATCTACATTTGATGCTGTCACATTTTTACTCAGTATTACTGTCTCTTGTTTCTCCAATACTACATAACAACAAGATAATAAATAATACTTGTTTTATTGTTTCCACATCTTGTTGTTTCTCATTTTTACAAGTATTTGCATATATATAAATGTTAGGGGTTTATAATTATTTACTTAAAGTTATAACTCCCCTACAGCATGTTGATTTGGGAACGTTTTTACATACATATAAATTCATTAAGAATGGATTCAATAAAGGTTTTGATGTGTTTATAAATTTATAAAAATTGGAAAATTAAAACAAAATAATTTGAAATATAAAATGATCTGGGAAGAAAATGTATTATGTTTGGAAAATCATGTTTATTCAAATTTTCTTGTTCTATAATTCATTGATATTTTTATAAAATTATGAATAAAAAATTGTTTTCATAGTCATTTATAAAATGGCAAATGATAAATATTGCATTGTAGTTGGTTTAAAATTTGATAATTTTTTTTATAAATTTTCAAATAAAAGATTTTTCAAATGTATTTATTTATAAAATGGTAAATAACATCATATTGTACTTGGTTCATATATTGCTATAATCTTGTAAATAAAAATTGCCGAGGAAGTCGAAAGTGTATATAGTAATAACGGTGTAAAGGGAATAACTGATACACCATGTTTTTGTGGGTATAAAGGTTAAACATTAATGTTTTCTTTTTTATTTTGGAAGGAGAATAATTTCTATAGAATTTATTTATTTGTAAATTAATGACACTGTAACATGTGGCTAATAATTTTACAAGGAACTGAATGTTTTAAAATGTTGAGAGAGACCTAAGATGGAAACAATTTCTTGTTCAAGAATAATCTAAAATAAATTAGTAATGAAATTCAAGATTTTTTAACTGCCTATTAGATCATCAACAGCAGTTTAAACAGTTTAACTGAAAATATAATCAATATTTTGATATGACAATAGACATTTTTCTTCCATAAACATTTTAATTTACAAGACAATAATAAATTAGGAGGGAATCAGTATTTTTGTTGCTACCCAGATTTATTTTAGGTAGATAACATATTCACATTAAATTTCTAACAAGCAAATGAATATAAAATTCTCTAAATTTAGGAGTGCTGCTCTTGATTCTCACAAGATCTACTAACAGGTTTTGAGAGTAGAAAATCTCTTCTGTTCCTGATTTCTCAGCACATTAAACAAGGGTGAGTCAAATTTGTTATTGTTTCTTATTCTACAACTATTTTTATGGACACATTGGAAGTAGTTTTCCCAAGTTTTCAAGTGAAACATGTTTTTACTTTGAATTCAATAGAATAGATTCTGAATTTCAACAAAACAATTGCTATATCAGATCAGCTGGGACATTCATTTCACTTGTATTTATGCAAAATTATTGGCATGAAAAAGCAAGAGGAGAAAGACAAAAGAGAAGAGAGGAACAAAGAAGTAACAAGAAGAACATTTATTGTGGGAAAGAAAAGATTTTAAGTTGTGTCACATAAAGTATATGTTTCATGAATTAAAATATTGCTTATTTCCTGATTGAGTGTCTGACTCAATCTATAATGAAGATGGGTAAGGAAGAAGAGACAGAGACGTTGCAAAACATTAAATGTAATATCTTGATTTCTACTCCTTTAAATGTCCAAATTAAAGAAAATTAATTTTGCTAAATCATTAGAATATATATATTTTGAATATTTGCATTTAGATTTTTTTAATAAGTTCACTCCAAGCAAGGCAATATAGCCACTAAGATGCAAGGGCTTACTGAGAGTGAGAGAATATGAAAAAAAGAAAAACACTATTAAGGAAAATGAACAATAAAAAAATAGAAATTGAAAAGACAGAACAATTAACCTGAAAATATTTATAGAAAAGGCACAAAGATACGTTATGGCAGTGGGAAAGTGACTGAAGCTAAGATGCAAGGTCAGGACCAATAACACTGAAAATTCTTCTTTGTATTTTATCAAGAATCTCTATCTATAAAATGCAGGATGTGTGTGTGTGTGTGTGTGTGTGTGTGTGTGTGTGTGTGTGTGTGTGTGTGTAACAAATGCACGGCCGTAATTTTCGACGGATTTGCACCAAAATTTACATGCACATGCTCCAAGTTAGTGGGAAGGCCATTTCCCAACTCCCATTGATAGTGGAAATAATCGATTTTTTCATGCTTCTACAGCAGTTTTCATGTAGTTTGCGGCTATTTTGTACTGACCAGAGTGAGAGCCTATAGCTGGCTGCCACGAATAGGCAGGAAGATTCTATTGGCCAGCGTGAGAGCCAACAACTGACTGAGATGAATGTTAACTAGCATTCAAAAAAAATCAATAGCTGCATTCGTCACAAGTGGGAAAAATTTAAATCTGCATGGCACTTTACTCCAATTGGCTTATTTGCTTGCTTAAACTCAATGTTGATTCTGATTCCGCAGAACTGGGTTGGGTGTGAAAAAGTATTTGTTGTTAACATTCTTTTTTCATTCAGTTTTTCCAGTTACGAGTCCCTTTTTAAAGCTGATCATTTTGTTTAGTTCTTTTTTCGTAACAGATTTAATGTTTAGTATAGAGCTTAGAAAAGATTCGCAGTGTGAGATAGGCAAGAAGTAAGGCATGTAGCAACATCAGCACGGCAAAGGGCACTCCTTTAAAGGCAAGGAAGGGCAAAAATATTTTAAGTCAAGTGATAGCGATTGCTGTATGAGTCGTACGATTTTTTAATCAAGCATGGGCAACGCTGGGCCATGCTTCTAGTCTCTAAATACATAGCAGAAGCAACAGACTAGATGTGGCAGCAATATTCAAAGAATAGGTAACAGAATTGATATATTTAAAAATAGATTTCAAATAACTATGCAACTTCATTATTATTTATAAGATACTATACTAAAATATAGCAATTACAGGAATATTAAGACTTAATAAAACTGTAAAATTTGTCCAATCAATAAATGTTATAAAAAAAAACAACTTTAAAACTGCTTTTGTTGTTGTTAATTACTGGTTGTTGGCTGAAAAGCATGGAGCCAGAAGAGAGTTCCACAAGTGAGAAGTGCGAGAGAAGAAACTGTTAGCAAAGAATTTATGGCTACATCTAGCCAGCTCAAATGTAAATTGATGAGATCTCAATGCAAGTCTAGTACTATGCTTAAATGAAAAAAATTTAGGTACCATAGTGAAGAGCTCATCCGAACAATTACCATAAAAATATTTATAGAAAAGATATAAAGAGACAACCTTACGGTGGGGGGAAAATGATTGGAGCTGAGCTGCCAGATCAGGACCAATAATACTGCAGATTCTTTTTTGGATCTTATTAATAAGCTTTGGATCTTATTAATAAGCTCAAGATAAATAGCAGGGGTACTGGACCATATGTGGCAGCAATATTCTAAGTATGTATAAATGGTGCACTTGTAGATAGATTCTGGAGAGAAAAATTGCTTTGCATGACACAATGAACTGACTTTCTTAGCAGCTGATCTAGCAATGGATTCAATATAGTCTTTCCACTTCATGTCAACTGAGAATATGAACCTGAGTAGTGGTAACAAATCACTTTCCTGGGGGTTAGCATCAGCCATACTTATGGTCAGCAGTGAGGAGCCTCTCAGATGTTTAATGGAGAAAAGTTTAGTTTTGGATGCTTTAAAATTAACACACCAACTTTTTCCCCCGTTAATGGTGGACTTGGAGTTGTTTTGGACATCGGCTGCCATTTTGACCTTGTTGGACTGATAAGCCTTAATATTGAGGCAGGAGTAAATGGTTGTGTCATCAGAGTAGATGCTAAGTTGAGAGCTTATGTCATCAGGAAGGTCATTAATGAAAATTAAAACAGAGTGGGACCAAGGATGAAGCCCTAGAGGACACTCACATTAGTATGAAAGGATCTAGATAAGTGACCATTCAGGATAACTTTCATTTCATGACTGGATCAGTTCAAAAAAGTCCCCAGAGACACCATAACTTTTCAGCTTGTGGAGAAGACCTGAATACTAGACCCTGTCAAAAGCTTTCAAGATGTCCAATGCTACAGCCCGGATTCATCATTTTTTTTTATCTAGAGCATGATAAAAATGGTGAAGCCCGGGCTGTAGAATATGACATCTCAAAAGCCTTTGAAAGGGTCGAGCATTCAGGTCTTCTCCACAAGCCAAAAAGTTATGGTGTCTCTGGTCCCTTTTTTGGATTGATCCAGTCTTTCAACAATGTTTTTTTGTAATTAAATATAATTTTTTGCTCATTTTTAATAGCTTTGCAAAAAAATTAGTTCCACAACTAAATGAATAGAGACGGAAACATTATTTTATTCCAGAAAAATATTTATTTTTCAGGCTGATACAGAAAAAAATGATGAAAGAAAATGCATATTGCTCTTGTCAAAATAAATAAATCCATAGATATCTCATAAAATAATTTACAGATATTGTAAAAAGAATGTAGATGAGCAAATAATTTAAATACAAATGAATCAAATAATATAAACTATGTCAAATTTTATAAATTCATTAGATTTGCATTAAAAGTGCTAAAATTTAACAATTGAACGAAACAAAAAACATTTGGATTGACACTTTTAAAAAATGTTTAAATTATTGTATACATAATGTAAACATTTTGTTTTCAAATAAATCATTAAAATTAGACTATATTTGAACTTCTGTTCTTGAGATATTTCTAAATTTCTAGCTCTATACAGTGTAAGATTTCAACATTAGCAAGAAAAATTTATAAACAAAAATTCAGTCAGTTATATTAGAAGTATAATTACAAACAATAATTATAATGACAAATATGTGAGTTTAAAAACCAGAAAGTGTATTCATCCAATAATCTTAATAGGAGTTGTATTTTCCCTTCAAAAGCTCTAGATCATAAAACCAAACATTTTAGTTTGTAATTAGACTATGGATTTTGCTATTGTTGCCTTTTCATGCTTGTCTTTCTAAAGTACTGAAGCTTGAAGGTTAATTCTTTAAACAAGTATGGACTTTAATGCCAAACTTATTTTCTTACGTTTTTTTGAGACTTCCTCTTCTTGACTGCAACTTATTTCAAAGTCTTCACACTGAAATTATAATAAATAAAGATTTTTGTATCACCTATATAAAAAATGATTATTGTTGAATAACAAGAAATAATTTACATTTATTTTTAAGCAAAAATATTTATGATCACTGTTTTAGTGAGAATTTTACTGTAAATGACTTTTGAGTACATCAGTAGTTCTCATCCATTACAATTGATAACCTGATACAATTATATTACACAATGGAGTATGTAGGAGTTCTATCCAAATTTCTCCCCACTCTTATTAAAAACATTGCTCTCATGATATCTAGCAAATGATAAAAGATTGTCTGAGTAGCCATGAATCTGTTCAATACTGATAAACATATTTTATAATGTCTGATGTTCCTACTTCTGGCTGTCTGAATTTGAAAACAATTGCTACATGCATTTCATATATATTTCAACTTCATTCAATGACTAATCAAAAAACGGACAGAACTTTTTTGGTTACCTTGTAGTTTTTAAGAATTCTGGTGAGCCATCCAACCCTTCCAACTATCAGCCTATGAGGCTTCTACCTCTTTTTGGGAAACTCCTAGAGGCTCTAATCAATCTCTCATCACAGGGCCTTTTCTCAGACAAGCAATATGGCTTTTGTTTCTCCAGGTTAACTGCAGATATACTGACAATATTTGTGTAAAGAGTTAATCATACTCTAGATAAAAACAGTGAGCCCAGGCTGTTGTATTGGACATCTCAAAAGCATTTGACAGGGTTTGGCATTCAGGTTTTCTCCACAAGCTGAAAAGTTAGTGTCTCCAGACACTTTTTTGAATTGATCTAGTCTTTCCTTTCAAATCATAAAATGAGAGTTATTCTGAATGGCCACTCATCTAGATCCTTTCATACTAATGCAGGTGTCCCCCAGGGCTTCATCCTTGGTCCTGCTCTATTTTTAATTTTCATTAATGACCTTTCTGATGACATCAGTTCACAACTTGGTATCTACACTGACTTCACAAAAATTTACTCCTGCCTCAATATTAAGGCTTATCAGTCTGACAAGGTAAAAATGGCAGCCAATGTCCAAAATGGCCTAAAGTCTGTAGTTAATTAGGGCAAAAGATGGTGTGTTAATTTTAACATATCCAAAACTAAACTTTTCTCCATTAATCATCTGAGAGACCCCTTGCTGACCATCAGCATGGTTGATGCTATCCTCCCAAAAAGTGATTCATTGCATTTTCTTAGGCACATATTCTCAGCTGATATGAAGTGGAAAGACTATATTGAATCCATTGCTAGGTCAACTGCTAAGAAAATTGTTTCACTGTATCAGGCAAGATAATTTTTCTCTCTAGAATCTATCTTACATATCTATAAGTCAACCATTCATCCATGCTTAGAATATTGCTGCCACACCTAGTTCCCCTGCTATTTACATAGAGATCCTTGATAAGATCCAAAGAATCTGCAGTATTATTGACCCTGATCTGGCAGCTCAACTCAAATCATTTTCGCGTCACCATGAGATTGCATCTCTATATCTTTTCTATAAATATTTTCATGGTAATTTTTCGGATGAGCTCTTCACTATGGTACTTAGTGTTTTTGAATTTAAGCACAGCACTAGACTTGCATTGAGATCTCATCAATTTACATTTGAGCTGGCTAGATGTAGCCATAAATTCTTTGCTAACAGTTTCTTCTCTCACACTTTACACTTGTGGAACTCTCTTCTGCCTACATGTTTTCCAGCCAAAAGTTAAATGCAATATCAATCACTATTTACTGTCTTCCTGATTACTGTCTTCTCTTTCTCTTTCATTATTGTTTCTGTTCCTAATTCTTCCACACCTTGTAACCCCTTGTGTTTTAGTGGCATTACTTCCTTGCTTGGGGTGATCCCAATTAAAAAAAAAGAAAAAAGTCAATTTTATAAATTTATGCAAAATATTTGATTTTTAAATTTTATTTGAAAGTTTAAACAAAACCTGTATTATACATGTTCAAATAGAAAGTAATTTTTTTTCATTTGAATAAAATACATATACTTACTGAGGTAGAGGTTGGAATAATTGCTCTTTTTCTACCCCGGGATGTTCTACACGAATTTGCTTGCAGAGAAATCTAAACAAAATGAACAGACTTTTAGAAAGTTTGAAGAATAAAATGTTAAATTATTTGACCTTTATATTAAAATACACAATATTTCATTCGTTACCAGTGACTAATATGATCTACAGTATTCATCCACTTCAAATAACTGGCAAGAAATAAATCTTTAAATTAATCTGAATCATAAAACAATGCAAGCATTGATATTGCCATTGTGGATGATAGGTAAATTCATTCTTCAAAGAAGTGAATGGATATATAATACAGTTGCTATTCATAAAACTCTTCCATTCCTTAATTTTTAGAAATCTGTACTAAAACTTTTGTTAAAAAATAAGTGGATTTTCATACTTATTCAACTCACTTTTAATAATAACATGAATACATCTAGTGATTACATTTTTAAATATACTGCAAAATTCAAGATATACTGAAAAAGAAGCCAATTATACTGTGTAGAATAAAATAAAAAACAGTAAAGCCTCCAAGCAACTTACCACATTGGTTCTATTGTTTGGTATTTCAGACTTTAAACATTTTCTGTTTGATAAAGTAAGTGAATTTGTCTGTTTTGCTAATTGACTGACCTAAAAAAAAATTCAAACCATTTAAAATTCAATTCTACAAATACAGATTTTCTATTAAAATTAACATAAAATCACATACCAGAGTAAATAGTAAGTGTTATGTCTCTTGAATTGGTAAAAATAATACATATTTAGGCAATTTCATGATTAACATTTAATATTTTAATGTGAAAATATGTGTTTTATATGTTTGTAACTCAGACCTTATAGAATTTAGTGCCATGTGGGTTTCTTTGATCAACAGGAAGGAAATTGGGGAACACTTTTCTGTGTATAACTTAGAATATATTATATTTTACATAGGTGACAGTGAATGATACTGTCTGTGTATATTGTGTTGTAATAAAACAAGCTGAGCAGTGTATTGGTTTAGCTTCTATTTTCTGTTCACCATGTTATTTTGCAAGAAAGAGACTTCCTATTTTTTCTTATGGATTATAAACCTGAAAAAGTTTGTAAAATGGACTGATTGAAACAGTAACATCAACATTGCAATGAAGGAATTCAATTATCCAAACAAATCTCAGAATAAACCTAAGATTTGTTTGGATAATTGAAAATTATTTTCTTAAGTATTACATATGGTTAGAAATTCAAGGTCAGAATTTTATTTGGTAATCAAAGTTATTTAAAAAAAACATTTTATCAACAATAGCTGACCAAGAAAGAAGTCGTTATATTGTGATTTGATCTTAGTTTCAATGTATTATGGGTTAAACAATAGTAAACAAAACAAAGAATATTTGAATTTGATTTACCTGGCCTTGATCTGATTCTACATCTACTGAACATATCTCCATCTGTGATAAGTAAATGATAAAATTGTTATAAAAAAGGGAAATTAATCAGTAAAATGTACAATAAGGTTGAAACAGACAATTTATTTTATGTCAATATTATAGACTCATTATTTAGTGATGAGAGGTCAAACAAATAAATAATAATAAATAACCTACTCAAACTTAAATGTAAATTGCAAAATATTCCTATTTTCTAAATTTACAAACTTATTTATTTGCATTTCAAGAATGATATTTAGTAAAAGTCTATTTCCAAAATTGAAGGTGAATGATTTTGATGGATTTCCTTCATATTCTGATGGAAAATAAAACTGCAATAACTTGAAGGATGGTGTCAATTTTGATCAGGGTACAGTATGTGCATGCTAGATAATTTGAAAATTTTGATTTGTGAAATGAATTTTCAGACACTGAAAATTAAAATGATTAGTACATTATCTAAAAGTATAATATGAACAATAAATTTACATCTGATACAATTTATTAGAATTTTCATTTGTACATCATTTCTATCTGTAATATGAAACCTAGAAATTGTAAACTCTTGGAGTGTTATCTGCTAAAACTGTTTTAAGAAAAATATTGCGTTGCAACAAATAAAAAATGAATGAGCAAAATAATTGCAAAGATGCATGTGCATATATAGATGTGTGTGCGTGTGGCATGTGTGTGTGTGTGCAAGATAAAAAAGATAAATATTTTTATAAGTTTTAGGAAATTGTTTTATGAGGCTCTGTAAGACACAAGTAAGTTATCTAATTATTTCAATTTATTTCTGTAAAGACATCAGTTTTGCATAGTAAAGATTTTACAAAAAGCAGAAACTAAAAGTTGATACTCTAACTCTAAAAGTAAACATTTAAAAAATTAAAAACAAACTCACTTTTTCACAGGGTGTGTTTTGCTTTGTGATTTCTGAATTCACCTTTTTAAAATATAGTGGAATGCCTACTGCTCGCAATTTTTCAACATTGACAATTTTGCTATTTCTGAAACTCAAAAAAATAATTTTAACCATAAGAAAATGCTCAAGGAAATATTTTGATACTAATTAAAGAGAAGATTATAAGGTTATAAAGATATAATATATACTTATATGTAACTTATTACATAAGCATGGATTATTTTTGAGAATTTTAAGAAAAATATTGTTAATCTGTAACACTAGGACACTCAATATATACATGTCCACTGGGGAAGTGAAGATTTTATAATTACAACTATTCAGTTACTATTCTTTTAGTGTATTTTTATATACATTATTTTATTAACAATTAGGAGATGTTCTAATACCGTTTTAATTTTCCTGATGATGCATTTATAAAACCTTCCATTTTCAACCTGTTGAAAAAGCCATGTGCAACAGTATTCTCCACTCCTAATTTCGTGGCTAAACCTTGAATAGTAAATTTGTTTTCTTCAAGGCAGACCAAAAGAACACGGCGCCACAAACAAAGTGACTATAAATAAAAATAGAAAAATAGGACATTTCAGTTTAAATATTTGTAATTAACACATTAAGTGATATTAGTGATATAATTGATATCTGATAAATACAGACAATTGTAACAATTTTGTACATTCATCAACAAAAAATCTATGAAAAATTGATAAACTGAAATTATATCATTTCTTTAAACAACAAATCTGTTCACTCTTTATAGTTAAATAACTTAGTCATTATGAAATAAGTGTAAATTTTTTAATTAAGTTAAAATTCACAAATAACTTGAGACAAGTTAAAATTCAAATGTATATGTAAAATGAAATATTTTGGTTGAATCATATACATACTTGCTGATCTGACAGACTCATTTTCACTAAAGAAGGATCAGTGCAGGGTTTATCAACCAACTGAAAAGTGAACCATGATTATATTTGAAAAGTGCAAATAAAAGTATAAATGATAAGTTTGTAAGATTTTATGAAATTAAAATTTTATATTAATAATGAAAAATGTTTTTTTGAATTTGTAGGGAATATAAATCATAAATTGATAGAAATTAAAACTGACTATTTTAACCAACTTAAGGGAACTATTCATCAGAGAACTTTGGAAAATGAGAAAATAAATGAAATAAATTTCAAATTCTAGAAAAATTCTAGTGTTATTCAGCACTTATCTAACCAAAGTCTTAAACTTAAGGTCACTTTTATTTTTGTTAAAAAACAAAATGCTTTATTTTTGCTAAAATTCCTTTTTTCATTTCTTTCATGGTTCCTTCTTAATTTTTTTCTTTTGGCTATCCAAGCATATATCAGCATCATCATCATCATCATTATCATGGCTTCACCTTGTGAGCAAGGATTCTAGGAAGGTTTCTATGTGTTGTAGAGTAGTTTCACAGTGGAGGCTTGTATTTCACTAAGTCGGTCCTAAAATAGGTTCAACATACAAAACGTTAGGAACTTGAAATAATAGTTAATTACGCAGCAATCTAGTTGTGGTGATGATACTTTAATGTCCGACATCGACTGACTCGACCAACTCCACTCTGAGCTCTGGCGATTGCTACTACTACTACTTATTATATCTGGGAGAGTCTATTTACAATAGAATAGTTATGTTCCGTTTTTTTTTTGCGGGACCGCTGTCAACCACGTCTGAAAAATGTCATCTGATTTAGTTACTGCACGTGAGTTTTTCCCCTTTCAAAAAGTATCTCATATAGCCAATCTGCTTTTCTATTTTTTTTTTATATCTCCATAGCGTTACCAGAAACAACCTTCCGCTTTGCACTTCTTAAAGATGGACTCACAGTTTCTGTAGGTTCTTCTTGACCTAAATCATTTAATAATACTGCATGTCCTTGGCTGCGGGTAACTCGATCCTCAGTTTTTCTTGGTGTTGGCTTCATTTTTACTTTCTGAAGCTTGTTTTTTACGTATATCGTCAGTGTTACCCATTCAACTTTTTTAAATACACCGGTTTTCTCTAATCTGTCCAATTCTTTATCTATCTGTTCAATTGAAGCAAACAGCACATTCCTTTTCTTTTTGAATACCGCCTGAGCGTTTTGTTTTGGCTGTAATTTTGCCTCCATCTTGGTACACATTCCCAAACCTGGAGAAAAAACAGTAGGAAATGTTTCCTTGAGTTTCCTTACTAATTTTTGGGCTTTGCAGTTTAAATTTTCAACCTTGTAACAGAAAGAATTTATCGGTAGATCCCATAATTGAAATTCTGTTATCCAATTCGTACCAAGTAAGTTTGTGGTATTTTTTATGACAAATAGTTTAGCTTTTCGCATTTTTTTATTTAACGTGACGTTTGTAACAAATTCTCCAATAAATTGTATTTTTTCTCCTGTCACTGACCTCGCGATTTTATTTGTTTTCATTAAAGTTGGTTTCCCCAACTTCTTCCACGAATGCAAATTTATGATAGATAGGTCGGAACCAGTGTCGAGTTGCATTTTTATTTTTTTATTACTTATTTCGACAGTAACAAATTTTCTAGTTATTTTGTTGTTCACTTCGTCGGACTTTAATTTTCTTATTTTATTGTCTTTATTTTTTGACCTGCAGTGTGAGCTTTTATGCCCCACTCTTTCACAGTTGAATCATTTTTTATTCCTAAAATTGCAATATCTGTACCAGTGAAGTTTACCGCAAACAAAACATGGCTTCAGGCGTTTTTGTTTATTTTTCTCTGGTATTTCACTTTTTGTTTGATAATCCGCAATTTTAAAATTCTTTTTTGGTAGACTGACTTTCTTTTTTTGTAGCGTATTTTTTCCTTACATGCGAAACGCCAGACTGTTCTATCTTTTTTGAATCTTTCTTTACGCTAACATATCTTGTGCAGTCTTCTGCCAAACTCTGTATCGTAAGACTTTGTTGGTTTTCCAATTTTGAAAGTACCAATTTCTTCAATTCTGTGTTTCTTTCGGATACTAGCCCTTGAACAAACACTAAGCATTTAAAGTTGTCAGTGTTTAACTCTGCTAGCTCGAATTCTTCACAATGCTTGTTCACATTGGCTGCATACGTTATATAGCCTTGTTCTTCATCTTTCATCAGATTCAAACATTTCCACCTCTTGTGAAACAAAGATGTCTTTTTACTAAATAATTCACTTAATATATTTACCACCTCGGTAAAAGTCAACTCACAATGTAGTTTACCAATTTGTTATGCTCAGCAGTTCTTAACTTGCTTAAAAGAAGTCTAACCTTCTTTCCTTCAGACCACGAATGACAGTCCTCGTTATACACGTCCGTATATTTTTTATAATACTCTTCAAAAGTTATCTCTTTGTCTGGACTGTACGTGAATATTTCAATCGAATTCCATATTGTATTCTCTGGGAAAGAATCATTTTGTAAATTTTTCTCTTTCCTCTTCTCAGTTATTTCCAGAATTTTGTTTTGAAACTCCTTATGCATCAGTTCCATTTCTCGTTGAAACTGCATCTGTCTATTAAATGTTTCCTCCTGTAGTTGCATCTGGAATGTTTTCTGTTGCTCTAATATTGTCATTTGTTGTTCCGTCTGGAACTTAAAAAATTCCTGGAATATATTTTTGCATTCTTCCATCTTCGCAAAAAAGTTTACACAATCCTTAAATATTGTAGAGGGGGGGGGGTCCAAAACGAATTTGCAATTCGTAACCTATTTGAGCAAACTGTCTTATCGAGAAAAAAAATTCTTTTTTCAGTTGAGAATACAACTGATTTTTTCATCACTAAGTTGATGTCTTGTCTTTTGAAAAAACTTTTCCAAGTTTTTTGTTTTTTTTTTAAAATGTGAATCCGAGATGTTGTCGCCGAAAATTTGACTAGCAAGTTCTTTTTTTCTCTTTTTCCTCCATATCAGAACAAATTTTGTCACCAAATAATGTGGCGAGCAAACTTTTTTTTTTCTATCACTGTATGAAAATGAATCCCTCGTATGCCATGTTTGTTATGGCGGGTGACATTTTTTTCCCTCCGTATGAGTTACAAATCCACGTCATCAAGTGTTGTAGAGTGAACGCAAATTTTTTTTTTTTTTTCCGTATGAATCCAAAATACGTTCATTACCAAGTGTTGTATATGGCGAAACAAATTTTTCTTTACCTAAATTTTTTTTCGTATGAATTTCAAATTCTGGTCGCCAAAGTTGTTATAGAGTGAACGAAAAATTTTTCTTTTCTCCGTATGAGTAACGAATCCCTCATCGCCAATGTGTTGTAGAGTAGTTTCACAGTGGAGGCTTGTATTTCACTAAGTCAGTCCTAAAATAGGTTTGACGTACAAAACGTTAGGAACTTGAAATAATAGTTAATGATGCAGCAATCTAGTTGTGGTGATGATACTTTAATGTCCGACATTGACTGACTCGACCAACTCCACTCTGAGCTCTAGCGACTGCTACTACTACTACTTATTATATCTGGGAGAGTCTATTTACAATAGAATAGGTATGTTCTGGTATAACACTATGTCGGCTGCCGGACTGCTAGTGGCTTGCAAGACAGACACCTTTTCCCACAGCAGTTTCAAGGACAGAACTGATGGTCAGACAAAATACCAAATTTATGGCACTGACTCCTGTCTGAGTTTGCAATATGATTCAGTAAGGGAGATCACTTGGAAAACCTTGTGGTGCTAAGAAAACCTTTTATCAGCTCCTAATTATTATTTGTAATAGTTGTTTCCACAAGTGATGAGCATCCTTTTCAGGTAACTTTCATGGTGCCCTTCTATTGTGTTGTGTTGGGTGGAGGCCAGCTCCCCAAACAGTAGGTCTTTAGAAGTCAATGAGTTTCCATCCTCAATATAGTGGATGCCTAGTGGATTTCTGTTTTTGTTGCAGTGAAAGAACATGTAAGAAACAAGCTTTAAGGAGAATAAGAGCTAAAAGGAAACTACTGCTAACAATCAGGAAAAGATAGTTGAATTTCTGTAATGCATGAGGAAAGAAGGCTTGGAGAATATAATATTCATATGACATAGCGAAAGTAAGAGAAGCAGGAGGAAACAGTAACCTACTTGATGAGTTTGTATGAGTGAATGGCAGAACAAGGACAATAACAACAAAAAGAGGGTGGTAAAGGAGCAAGTGTTACTTAGAACAACATAAGACAGGAAGTAGTGGAGAGCCATGATCATCCACATCTTGAAAGGACAGGACATATAAAAGAAGAAGCAACCTCAATACTGAAAGTACTGGAATTTTAGATGAATTAAGTATTTTGTGATGAAATCACTCCAGCACACTAGGAGAAAAGTGAGGAGGCCACATTGGTGGAAATGTTCAAAAAGATATAGATGGCACCCCTAGATGATGACTGGTTTGCTCAAGTGACATATAGTTTTTTATTTTCCACTTGGCAATTTTCTTGGATTTGTCTTAGAACAAATACTATGGTTTGTTATTAAGTCATCCAATAATGCCAGCAATAGAGAATAATACCCTGGTAGTTTGTGCAGTCTCATTTTTCACCTTTCTTTTTGTAGAGGGTTATGATGACTGTATTTTGAAGTCTTGGGTTAGTTTTGTTCTGTTTCCAGCAGATTATATATATTGGTCTCTCTCATCATTTTTGATGTATGAGGGTACAGAAACTCAGTTCTTAGAACCGGATAGCCAGACTATTCACACATATAACTTGATTATAGTGGAGAAGGCTTGTGCCAAATGAACCACATTTTTTAGAAGAGCTAAATACAGAGAATTGATGCACATTGTGTGCCACTAGGTCCCCAAATAACCTTCTTCAGGTTCTGAATTCATAGTTGTGTGACTCTTAGACCAGTTGCCAACCAAGACACAGTGACACAGTCTGTCCTGCTAGTTACTTATAGCTGAGGGGAGGGGAAGAGATGGATTCATACTTTTACCAAGGGCATTTGCATGTAAGTGAATGCAACGAACATGACTGGAATTTGAACTTGAACCACTATTTATTATGCTACATGCCTCCATATATATATATATATATATATATATATATATTAGCATGTATATGCACATCTAACAGGTGCTTTTTCTTGATTTCAGATTTCTTATATATAATTTGTATATTTTCTGATGAGTTCTTGAAGGTTGTAAATAGAATGACATTAACTTTCTTCAAACATTTTATGATATTAATTAATAATTATCAAAAAATTCATTTTTTTTATTGGTGTGCATAAATGATTTTCCTTTCTACCCTATAAATTTTTAATTATTTGGAGTTTTCTTAATTTAGAGTGTGCTGTTCAGTAATAACTGGAGATTAGCAAAAGAATCTCTTTAGATATGTTAATTTAAATACCAATATAAACTTAATATCTTAATGTCAATACTGTCACAAAATGAAATCTAGAATTTATTGATTATATTTCTTTTTTCCCAAGTTTGTTATTGGCCTGTGAATAATGGTTAAAAAATCAGTTTTATATTTACTAATTTTATAAGATTATTATCATTTGAAATAGATTTTATCAGATTATATATTTTATTCTTTATTTGTATCTTGATGATTATCCTACCTTTGATTACTATTATTGTGGAATGCAAGTTTGTGGGTAATATTTTACTATTCTGCTGGTGTTTCTATAATAATTCTTGGATTTTCTCAAAGGAGTAAAATGATAAGCTAAATGTGATTTATCCAAATGCTTAACAGAAATAAAATTCAAAATGTATTTATTGCAATATACAATAAAATATAAAAGACTGATAAAAGTTTACCTATTTTCATATTTTATAATTTAATTTGATTAATCTTTTAAATAAATTAAAATTTCATTTTAGCTTTAAAAATCATAATTGTTTTACTATTAATTTAACATTTTAAGATTTTTACCTTAGAACATGATGCACAATAATGTGTAGAAGGTGCACTGGTTTCATCTAATAGACAAAAACACACTGCATGTTGCCAGTAGTTGCAATTGGCACAAAGTATCATCAAACCATCATCCTGGAATAAAGTAGAAAATTTTATAAAAATCTTAAATGCAAATCATTACCTAAATATAACTTATATGATAAAGAATGGAATTTTTAAAAAATTATTTTTGAAACACTTGTTTATAAAAAAAGAAATATATATTAAATATTATTAGTGTAACAGAGATTTGGGTCAGCCTGATAAGACTCCAAGTTGGTTGTATGTATTGCTGTAATTACCAGGAGTTGCGTCCTCTTCCACAATAAGCTATTGAGAGAAGACCTAGGTGGCACTGCCTATACGCATATGAACAATACTGGATAGGTATTAGCCAATAGTCAGTGTTGGTCTGGGACTGGGAGAGCTATATAACACCAATGTTTTTTTCAGTCAACAGGAACACTCTCAACGTGTGAATGTGAAATCATATCTGATAGAAAGTGTTTGATTTCGGCAGATTTCAATGAAAGGTGGGTGACTAAGCAAGCCTGGTTCGTGTAGACAGGGCTAGCCTTGATTTTCTCTTTTAAGTCCCCTTGATGCAATGGGGTAGTTTCCTGTGAACCCTCCCCTGGTTAAGTTAGACAGTATTATGTTTTCCTAGTTAATGTGAATAAGTGTTGTTCTCAGCCTGTTTCCGGCATTCTGTTTTGTTATGATCCATGTTGAGATTCCCAACCTTCTCAGTTTGTTTTTATCCCATTTTCATCTCAGCTGGGTGAGCCTTTAATTTTTTCCATTCCTTCATTTATTTTCATCCTTCCCATTCCATTATTGAGTGTGCTTCTTGATTCTGTCTATCAGCAGAATACAGCAGCCTCTCTTATTATTTTGAGGGGTGAACGGGTCCTACTAACATTTGTTTTGATTTTATCTTTGTGTTACATTTTTAGTTTGTTTTCTAGCCTCATGCCCTCCCCATCATTTCATGAATCATTAAATTTTTATATATTTTTGTAAAAAAAAAGAACATTTCATCAAATTTTTATGTCATGGGGTGTTTTGTAGGTATAGTGGTATATTCATGATTGAGAGGTGATGGATGAGTTCTTATGGTGAATGAGTAAACTCTAATGAATGAATGGGTCATGAATCAAATTAACTAGGATTAGGATAGCTAATAGAGACCAGTCTCTCCCTTTTTTCCCATTTAGCTTTGTGCCATAATTTCTGTATATGCAGAAATAAATAATCCCAACATGTGACCAGGCAAGATGATCACAAGCTATTTCAGCAGTTGACAGACAATGGCAGACCCCAAATTTGATTTAAATCAGCGTCCAGGCTTCCAGAAGTTGAATGGATAGAGAAGCTGGAACTCATTTGCAGGCTATGTGGAGTGAAGCCTTTGGAGCACATGATCCCTTTGAGACTTACAGGCAGCACATATACAGTTTACCAACAACTGGATGACAAAGCAAAATCCAACATTTACCAGATAAAGACTGCCTTAGTTACAGCCTTTTCTACAGATTCGTTTATGGCGTACAAGCAGCTCAGCATGGGTTGCCAGGCAATGTAAAGTGGACACTTCATGCATTGTCTAGGATGGATGTGTTGTCTATTGACCAGCTGCTTGCCTGAAGTCATGGGGGCAGCAGCAGGCTGACCAGTGCAAAGTACAGACGTTCATGTCATAAAGTGCTTTAGATGCAATGGTATTAACCACATGGTGAAAGATTGCTGAAGCCGACAACATGACAGGGGATGAGAGCAAGGACAACGAGACAACCATGCACTGTTACCATTGCCATACCATGGGTCATATGTGTTGAAACTGTCTGAGGAAATGTGAGAAGGGATATGTCAGTGCCATTATCTTCTCCAGCCTGGCACTACCTGTGATCGGGATCCAGGTTGATGGTAGAACCATCACCCCACTGGTCAATACTGGTTGTTCGCTGTCTACAGCCAGCAGAGATATGCCAGCTGTGGACAAAAGGGTCTGTATGCATGAAAATGATAGATGGGGAGACCAGAGAATGTTGTGGAATCAGAATCATTACTTTCCGGTTGCAAGGTAGAAGTCCTGTCAAGATTGACATACTGGTGGCACAAGAAAATGCACTTGGTTTCAACCTTCTGATTGGGATGAATGCAATTAAAGAACTAGGGACAGTAGGAATCATTCCTTCAGCTGCAGTGGAGTTTTTTCAACAAAAAAACATCCCTGTGTATGGCTCTCACTATAGAGAAACCAGACTTTAGTGTCAAGTTCAGTCAGAAAAAGAAAGTATGGACAGTGTCATAGAAATGGACCAAAAATCAGACACCAACGAACCTAGGAAACAAGATGGCAGAGTATCCTGTGTCCAAGCTAGTGTGTAAGGAATATGACCAGGAGTTAAAAACATGGATGAATAATGACTGGCTCATACCATATTCTGAGAAGGAGCTCGGACCTCCCAAGGGGCTAGTTCCACTAATGGCCATTATCCAAAAGAATGGATTACAGAGAATTAAATAGATGCATTTGTAACAAGTGCTAAATGTCTGTGCCGATAAGCTAAGGGAATGGTGACAATGCAGGAACAATGTATCACTGTTGGACCTTCAGAGAGTGTACCTACAGGTCCATCCATGTACACCAGTTGTTGTGGCCTTTCCAGGCCATCTTAACTGAAAGGGTGGAGGTACTGTCTTACATGAGTAGGCTTCGATCTGAATGTGGTGCCTCTTATAATAATGGAATTTATCAAGATGGTACTATCACAGGATAAGGCAATCCAAGATGCCACTTCAACATATATAGACGAAAGTGCAGTTTCCGTGACGTGTATCAGAAAGCATAAATCTGACTTTGGACTGATCTGCAAGGAACATGTGAAACTCAACAATGGTGCAAAAGTGCTTGGTTTGCAAGTATGGGGTGAGCACAGCATGTTTTAATGGAGACAAAGGAGTAAGTTCCCAGATATTCCAACTGTTATCAAACATAGTAATACATTCTCTCTATGGAAAACTTGTAGGTTCAGTATGTGGTTGGCTTAGGGCAACTGTGAAGGGAGGTGCTTCATGCTTCATGCTCATGCTAGAAGGAAACATGCAAAAAATTAATGTTATATATTCAGATGTATGTGGTTTAAATTTAAATTTATATTACTGTGTAAATTAATAAAAAATGCTATCATTGATTTGTATATTTATATAAGTGCTTCCTTTTGCCAAATTAATTTTAGTTTGGAAGGCATTACCTAGACTTTGTACAAATATTGGCCATGAAATTCAGAATTCAACATGTTCAGCTTTGATATAAAATTTTGTCATGAACAGAATCTGAGTAAATCTAAATACTATGTTTAATACAAAAGTCATTTAATCATTCTATAATAGCTTTTCTTAGTAAATACTAGTGGCCAACATTTATTATGAAGTTAATCATTGTCATTTAATGAATAATTACAGAGTAAAACCTTATTAAAATAATTATTTTTATACAGGAAATGCAAATTTACAGTAGAGTTATTTCTTCTTTATTTTACATACTAACACTGTAATAATACTATTATAAAGTAAAATACAGGCTGCAAGATTAAGTTCAATTCCAGATGTAGCTCATTAGTACATAAGCATTAAGAATGAAAAGAAGTTCATAAAAATAAATTTTTTTGTTTGTTTTGTGATTGTTGATCAAGATGTATATGGACATTAGGTAAGCCCTGAAGGAGAAAGGAAAAACCAAATCAACTATGTAACATTCAATAAGAGATTCAGGAATGCATTTTTACACTGCAAAACAGACCCAAGTGCCAACTGTGGGAGTGACTACCTTCCAATGATATGTAAACACTGGTTACTTGTTTTTTCCGGAATCCACTTTGGTAACTAGATAAGAGATTGTTTCTCTCCAAGTATGACATTACTATTCTCTCCATCGTCTTGCAAATGCAACTTGTTAGTGTAATGGGTTGGTAGTTTTGTTGAGTTGGAATGGTTTTTGATGGGTTTAGAAATTGGAGTGATGACAGACTCAAGCCATAATTTTGGAAATTTTTCTGAACACCATATAGCATTGATGATCTGGAGAAGCATTAAAAGAGACTTTTCTAGCAGGTGTTTTAAAAACTGGTAATGGATTTCATCTGGACCAGTTGCAGAGTTTTTACTTTTGTTTATGGAGTCTTTTAGTTCTGTCATAGTAAAGAGAATATTGTATTCTCTTTATTGTTTGAAGTGAATATAAGTTTTTCTTGTTCCATAATGTTTTTATATTCTTAAAATTTGGGAGTGTAGTGATTTGTTGAGGAATTTCTTTGTTTCATTTGTTTCTTTGTTTCATTTCTTTTGGTTATTTGGACTGTTGCAGCTTGTGATGTTTTTCCATTAATTTTATTTATTATTCCCCATGTTTTATTTAAAGGTGTTTTTTGTTTAATTTGGAGATGTAATTTTATAAAGTTTCTCTTTTGGTTTTTTTAATCATACGGTGTGCTTTTGCTTGAGCTTGTTTGTAGTTTTGTTGATTGATTTAGGTTGAGTTATCTAAAAATATACTATTTACATTATTTGGACTATTGTCCTCATCTTTGTTACCATATTTATCACAATGTTTCGGCTGTTGTACACTCTGGCCTTCTTCAGGTGGTTAGAATGTCAAGCTGAACCCTTTATTTCGCTTGCTGTGGTAGACTGTTCTAGTTCCATGTGCCATGTCTAATGGATGTCAGTTATCATTTTATCTACCTCTTCAAGTTCTCCACTGCCTTAACCAGGTATTGAACTCACAATTCTTTGGGTCCTGTCACTGGATCTAACCAACACCTACATCCACTATGCTAAACGTTGTGATAAATATGGCAACAAAGATGAGGATAATATCCGAATAATGTAAATAGTGTACATAATACCTCATCTCAGAAATATAGACAGATACTGTGTAAGAATATCTTTAGCATTTTTTCCTGGTTTTAACTGATTTTCTGCATTCTGCTGTGAACCAGGGTTTTGATTTGATATGTGGTTTAAAGGTAGATTTGGGTATTGTCTGTTTTGTTATTTGTGTTAGTATTTTTGCAAAGGAGACTGTTGGTTCTGGTTCATTGAGAATTTCCATGTTGATTTAGTATGAGCAAAGTTCATTGAATTTTACCCAGTTAGCTTTGTGTAGTTGCCATTTTGGATTCCATTCCTCTGTCATAGGCTTGCTTATATTTAGGAAAATAGGTGAATTGTCAGTACCACATTGGTCATCATGAACTTTCCATTGAAAGTCCATAAAAATTAATGGGGAGTATATGGCTAGGTTGATGGCTGATGTTGATCTGGTACCTGTGTGTAGGTGTGTGTGCGTTTGGTTATTAAGGATACCTAGATTAGATGATTGCTATAATTTTACCAGTTTGACTGGGGTTCCTACAGCCTCACATTTTGCTGTGTGCAGTAAAATCTCGCATTAGTAGAAAGGGAGTAAAAATTTGGTCAATTAGCCTTCTATTTCAGTCTTATCCAGTTTGTGTTTTGGATGAATATAAATTGAACATATATTTATTGTTTGATGAATCAAAGCTTTTACTGCCATGGTCTGTAGGTTTGTATTTAATTGTAATTTTTCATGAGGCATTGATTTTTTAACCAACAATGAAATACTTCCATTTGGCCTATTCTCTTTTGTTGATAGATTTATTTTGTGGTAACTTTCATATCCTTCAAAGGAGATGTCAGTTTCTTTGAGAAATGTCTCCTATAGATTATAATCTGTAAGGAGTTGTTTGATTTCCTCATAGTTTGGTTTAACACTTCTACAGTTCCATTGTATGATACTTGTGTTCCATTTGTTCATTTGAGTGTTAATCGTTTCTGTTTTTGTGAATGGATCTTAAGGATGACTATGTTTTCGGTTTTTGGTCATCTGTTTTCATAAATCTTATAATTTCTGTACTGTTTATCTTCCTTGTTTGTGAACTTGTTCTTCATTGAATATTTATATGTTCTTGATTATTTGGGTTATTTTCATTTTTTTTTTGATTATCTTTATGTGGGTTGTTGTCCTGTTTATTTGTTTTTAATTCTGGCTCTTCTGTTTTTGGGATATTGATTTTATTTTATAATGTAATTTTATTCTCTCAGAAATTTAGAAATGACATGCTTTATTGCTTGGTATTCATGCCAGAAGCTCAAATTCAGAGTATTTGGGTGTCAATCTGAGGACACAGCAGAGGATTCAGAAAGAGTTGGATGAGTATAATTGTGATTACGAAGGTACAGCAACTCAGAAAACTCACTCCAATTGTTCTGATAAGAAAAGTACTTCCAAATTTGTTGGTGAGGGCCTTAGACTCAACATGGAGGCCTACATTAAGTACCTTAAGAAGGTAGTGCTGCCCTGGGTGAAGAGGGTGTCTGATGGAAGACTCCATGTCTGGCAACAGGACTCTGCACCATGCCACACAAGCAGGAGAACCCCATCATGGTTGTCAGACAATTTCTGTGACCATATCACCCCTCATATCTGGTCACCTAACTCCCCAGATTGCAACCTCCTTGATTATTATGTGTGGGGCACAATTGAGTGAGAGACAAACAAAACTCCTTCTAACAGCAAAGATGAACTGAAGGCAAGGATTATGGCAGCATTCACCAACTTAAACAAGGAGACCATAAAGGAGTTGCAAGAGATTCCAAAGTCATTCTGAGGTCGTGGTTGAAGCTAATGATGATTTTATTGAATGAATTTACTCTTTAGTATGTCAAGATATTTTTGTGCAATTTCAGTAAATATATCTGTTAAAATGAAATATCAGTGTTATTTTCATTTTTGCATAATTTAGATGACAATTTATCTATCGCACCCTGTATATATTTCTACTTTGGAAACTGTATAACAAATTTTTATTTTATGTGATGGTTCTGGTATATCAAAGGTAATAATATATGTGTTGGTGTCTATAATTCTGTCATTTTTTTAATAGATATTTTTTAATATCTAAAATGTACTGTTTTTTAATAGAATTATTGTTTTTAATTTTCTCCAGTGTACACAGTGGGAGTTTGGTGGTTCTCACTACACCTTTGGAAGAATTGAAAAATTAGTATGAGCAAACCTTTACATTGTGAAATTTGGTCATCCTTAGTAGAGTTTCAGCATCATGTTTTTCTTTTACTTCTATCCATAATGTATTATTTGTAGTTATTTTTAACTGCTGTTGGAGTTAACCAAGAAGCTAAGATTCTTTCTTTTATAAAAGGTGACATCTTCATTATTAGTTTATCTTCTGTTGGTTCTATTATTATGAATCGCAAAAATATTTTCTGTGTCACTTTCTGTGTCTGTATCAATTTCTAGTCTCTTGTTTTTTTTGTGCTCATATTTTTTTTATTATTATTATTCATCAGCCATGCCTCAGAGCCCCATATATGGGAGATGATGAGGGGAAATCCCATTCACCTCATTCCTCCAGGGTTACATGACTGGTATACTCAAACATGGAGAGGGTTCAAATCACGTTATATCCAGGATTGTCCACCCAAGCATGGGCTTTCCTCAGAAGTTGAAACAGCCATGTCAGATTCTTTTATTCCCAGTCTGATTGACTCTACAGCCTCCACTTACTAAGTCAGTTTAATGTTTGATATGATAAATGTGAGTACATTTTGTTTGTTTTGTTAGTCTGACTTAGAGCTTGATGTGACCAGTCAGTTGATTAGATCAGGCCTCTTCAATCACCCATTTAGCTCAAGTAAGAGTCAAAGTAGTGTGTTGGAGTTTAGGAGTATATGTATGACCTAACTCCCTCAACCACCAGGATCCCATTCTCAAACATCATGAGTGGTCACTCTTGGCAAACAGGTGGCCCCCTTGGTGAACTTTTACCTCCTGTAGAGATGCAGTTGGCATATTCTGAAGCCTCACCGACAGGCAAATTAACATACTGAAGTTTTTCATATTTTGTTGGTTTCCTAAAAATCAAACTTAACCTAACCAGCCTGCCATGATTAGCCATAGAAGGCTTGCTAGGATTTATTCTGTTCTTTATGTGAAATGCTGTTCATATCCTTATGTTAGTAGGTTTGCATAAGCAGGAGTTTTACATATGACCTGTGGTTTGCTTGTTGAGTAATTTTGAGAAATTACAATTTGATTTTGTGGTTATCAGAATGGAAAGATGTCCATATACTTTTCCTTTATTAATATATTAAAACCTAAACTTTAGATATGAGTTGTATAGTAACAAATATAAATATTTTGGAGAAATTCTTTTCAAAATTAACAATTTTCAGATTAACTGTAATAATATATATCAACATATCTATGAATATGTATAATTGCATTTTTTATATATTTATATATGGGTCAACTCAAGTATATAATTTGTATAAATCACAAACAACAAAATAAAATGCATTCTGTGAGTGTCTACAAACTCCCAATGTCTTCCCCAAGTAAAGTAATATCATTGTCATTTTTAGTATGAAGTTACTATTAACTAATAATAAAATCACATAAACATCTCAACTGTTACTGCAATACCTTCAAATAATGAATCCTCACAATTTATAATATATTTTTGTAGGTTAGTACAGTATATAATGTTATAAAGAAATTTTCTATATTAGATATAATGATATATATGAAAACTAAAGAATATATTTACCTCATTGCAGCCACATGGACAACATACAACATCTTTATCACCAGTAAGTTTCTTTGAAGTTTTATCTAAAATAGTTTTGCTGGCTGTAAAAAAATATAATAAAAAATTTCACAAAATGAAAAGTTGATTTGAATATGATTTTCATCTACAGTGTGCTGAAGAAATATCTCCCACATAATGGTAAGACATTAGTGGTAATGGTGTCTTCATCTAGTTAATGTAGTACCATTATGTGTGAGGTATTTCTTCCACACCCTTTATCATGAAATACAATTTTGATACATTTGTATAATTCATTCAGTTTCTAAAATTACGACATATTTTATTTATCCTTAAAAGTGAAATTATACACAGTTAAGTCACCTTAAACCCAAGCTTTAAATATTTTTACTACTTTATATATGTGTTAGAAATTTTCTAATTTACTACTTGTTAATTTAAGTTCAATCCAATATTTTCCTAATAAGTAAATCCACAAAATAAGCAGCTTGCACCACTTCCATTAGACTGCTAAATTCAGAGGTTTTAAATGGCCTGATATAATCAATTAGGACAGGTATTTTTAGGCTTAAGTTAATATAAACATAAAAAATACAGTAGCTGCAATTTAGAAAATCAAAATCAAAAGATGAATAAAATACATGGTCAAGAAAGGCAAAATTACATCAGGAAGTGATTATGCTGCTATTTTTTTATAAAGAATTTTGAAATATATAAATATAAAATATAAAAAAAAAAAAGAAAAATCAAAAATAAAAGAAATATAAGGAAATATGGGAATAAAAATATAAAAATGGTAAAGAGAATTTTATGATAAGCACAACATTCATTCTGCATGCAGGCTGGATGTGAATGCCATGAAGGCAGAGAACAAAATTGAAAAAAAATTGTTTTCTGCATATAGGCTCTAAGCATCACATCCAGTCCATGAAGCCAGTCCTGGCAATGAAAGCAACATTGGCCAATCACAAACATTCCTGCCAGAAAAGAAGATACCCTTGGGGACTGCTAGATCTGCTTAAAAGCAGGATGCCTATAATGACCACAAACAGTTGTGGGCCGGCAGGCCACCAGCTGACAGACAGGTCACTGCTGCTACTGCTGCTACCATAACCACTCCTCCCAACTCACCCATTGCTAACCCCAGGCTGACTATCCAGCATCGACATTGCCAGGCCCAAGATGCCAACTGTTGCAACTCATAACATCTCAATGTCAATACAACCAAACTACCAGCCTTACTTGTTGCCAATGTTATCACCTCAGCAAACCCAACTCATTGCAGCAACCAACTATCCAGCCTTGACACTGTCCATCATGATTGGTAGCATCTCAATGTCAATGCTACCAGCTACAAGCCTTCCTTGTTGTCAATGCTGTCACTTCAGCAAACCCAACTACTTACAGTAACCGACTATCCAGCTTTGACACCGACTTCAACTCTACAAGTGACTCCAATTCCAGAAACAAGCAACTCCAACTCCACAAGCAGCAAATCCCACTACACACAAAAGTGACTTCAACTCTGCAAACAAGTGACTCAAGCTCTGCAAACAAGTGACTCCAGCTCTGCAAACAAGTGACTGACTTCACAAGCATGCAACCCACTCAGGCTACCACTATTTTGTAGAACAGTGGCCAACCAGCTACACCAACCTCGTCAACACACCTCAGCATAACTGACTCACTACAGACATTTCCTCTGCAGTTGTCACCATGGACCCATTTTCATAGAAGAGGCCTACTAGCTACACCAATCACTTGTTACCTTGACAAGCAATGAATTGACACACTACCGTGACCTCAATATTTCAAACATATATCCTGTGACCTTGATCAAATCAACACAAGATATCAGTCAACTCATGATGCTACCCTTCCTCATTGCCAATGCTGTCACCTTGGCAAATCCAACTCCACTCTGTAAGACACCTTAAAAAACTACACATTGTTCAAAAAACCTAACCCTAGTTATTCTTTTCCTTTCACAACCAAGTGCTTATTATAACAACTGTTGTCAGAAGTGTGCAGCAGGAGTAATGGATATAACAACTCACATTAGCAGCAAAGAAAATAGAAATCTAAGACCTTGCTGCAAAAGAGAATTAAGCAAAAAAAAAAATTAAACAGGAAAATGGTCATATCCATAATTATAGTGGTATTTAGAACAGTTTCAATGACCTTGCTAAGAGATTAAATGAATTGGAGATCCAAGAAAGAATTAAGACAACTTATGTCATAATACTATTGATTTCGGTGTAAATACTGATGAAAGAGTTGGACATCTGAGGAACCTTACTATCATTTGATCCTCAGAGATGAGCATCAAAACTTAAGCATAATGATATATATATTAATGGTTGTGAAGAGCACTGACTGTGATTTAAGTTAAAAATGGCAAGAATAATGATAAGAATGAACAAAAGGAAAAATTTAGATATAACTAGTTTTTATATGATTAGTTGAATAATGCAAAAACTTGTGTGAGAATATACTACTGCATATGGAAATTAAGGATAAGGTACTGCATTCTGTGAAATAGAATTTTTCTATATAAAAAGATGAAGCCATATTATCTACATACATAATTTTCCTCAGTATTGCTTCTAATGTCAATACTACAGTTAATAATATTCTGGATACTCCTAGTATATTGATTATTTCCCTGTTATCTCATATAATCTAATATTATTGTTAATATTAGCCTGTATAAATAGTATATATAATACATCTATGCCTCTGAAGATTAGGTGAAGTCTCCTTTATAACCATGTCTCACTTATATTGCCTAGTAGGTAAAGGATTTAACTATCTAAATCTATCTATTTATTATCTATCTATTTATTATTTAAATAATGTAAAGTGAATTTAAATTTTTTTTATAATCTTATGGTTACAATTTTTGTATTTTATCAATTCAGCAAGAATCACTGAAAATCATATGAATACTTAATAGACATAATTGCTTTATAATTTTATAAAATCTACCTTTATATATATATATATATATATATATATATATATATATATATATATATATATATATAAATTCGGTTGTGTATTCTTGGAAGATAAGTGCAAATTTGTAAATAATGGCTATTATTATTAATATTACATGGTTCTTCCCTTCCCTAAATTGAGCACTGTCAGTCATTGGTGTGTTTTTTCACAGAGTTAAGTACGTAAAAATTTGCCTTTCTTTCAACTGTACACCAATGCCAATGGCTTGGGGGAAAATCTCCAACTGTTGCCAAATCAGTTGGGTTTAGATCCTAGCTTGAAGCTAGCTGGATGTCTAGCCACACTGATGAGTTGTGAAACACTGAAACAGTCTGTCTGTGGATGATATATATATATATATATATATATATATATATATATATATATATATATATATGTAAATAAATTAATAAAAAAAAAGTTTTATTTATCCCCTCTATTTAGCATATTGAGCATTCTACATTTTAGCTTTATTATTCACTTGGTTTTTTTTCTTTGAACTAAAAATTTAAGGCACTGGATGATTTATTTCACTCTGTTTGGATGTTTCTAGTTCTTTCTTTTTTTTTTCAATTTTTTCCTCAGGTACCAATTTGTTTTGATATACTTGCAAGTTGTGCTCTCTGAGGTTTTTTACCAACCGAGTATTAATATTTATATATATATATATATATATATATATACATATATATATATATATATAAATTACTACTAACAATTAAAATATGATTAGAGAAATATATTTTAAAATCATGTTTTTGTGTCTGTTTATATTGTATACTGTCAGATGAATCAAACAATTAAACATATATTGATCTATGGGTGCCCATAAAAAGTATAAACTTTAATTCATAGCAATATTGTAAAACTCATTAAATTGAAATCAACCTTTACAAATATCAACCAAGTTATAACTTAAACCAAAATTTCACTTTTTATGTTTACATAGATAATGCTTGTTATGAAGTTTTGTATATTAAATTTAATTTCCTGAAGTATGTACAGATTGCAGGAGTTCAAATGTAAGTTATTTTACTGCTTTTATCATCCTTAAATACATATGTTGAAGACCTTAAAAAAATCTTAATGAAAGTTTTCACCCTTGTGGTCTGTAACATACTGGAAATTAAAAACCAACAAAATCTCAATATACGATATTTAAAGTTGGTTCAATGCTAGTTAAAAAAATAGTTTTTCAGCCAATGAAAAGCTATAAAAAGAAGTTTAAAAATCTATCTGATTAACTTTTATGGATACTAATCTTTTTAAAAAGGAAATTTAATGGAATGGCAAAACACAGATTCATCCAGAACATTGCAGAGACAGCAGTTATACCATTTTATTTGTGCCTAGAAGATTCTCCCTTACTAATAGAAACCTGATATTACTCAACATCAAAAGAAACTGACTTAACTGACAGGTGAAAACAGTATCAAAGAACTTTTTCAATTCGACTTTTCATTTCTACAATATTTCTCTCAAATTCTGTCAATTACTTTCAAATTAACTAAATTACTCTGAAAATATTTGTTTTTGGGAACTTTAATCATACAAGTCAAATTTTATACAAAAGTATATTTTCTTCTTTATAAACAAAAGGAACATTACCAAATGAACTTTAACACTACATTTCTCTTTATCAGATTATTTAGATTTTTAAAAGCAAATAACGTATATCAGTAAATAATTTTTTTTGTGATACATCAATGTAACTTGTATTTTTTTTTTTTTTTGCTGTCCAACAACAAATATCCAAAAGTCTCAATTCAACAAGGTCTATTTCTCAAATTTAATGGATGTACAAAAACACACACAAAAGCGAATAGCTTTCTTTCATTCAAAACCATTGGCTCAGTTAAAACTTGGTAACTATTAACATATGCACAAGATTAGAAATAATATATTTCTTTTTTAAGATAAGGTAAATTCTTTTTGTAAATACTTACACGTTGGTAAATCTGGTTCTTTGTCAGGAACTACAGCTTTATTTTCTAATTCAGTTTCATTTGTATGATCTGCACACCCTGACAAATCCTAAAATGAAACAAGAAGATAATATTCATCCTTTTATGATGAATTATGGAAGAGTTTTTTCTTTCTGAAAAATAGTCAGTTATTGAATAAAATACATTGAATACTGGAAGATTAAAAAGAATTTTTAATAAAATTTTTCCTACATAGTTTTAATATTTTGACAATTTGTTAAAATATGCAATATAGTTATTATAAATACAAAAATTATCAGCAAACCTGTAGTTTTTCTAGTTTTTCTTCCTTATCTTTATCAAGATTAGTTGGATCACTTTCTTCAAATTGGCTTTTATCAGTTTTTATTCTCAATTTTATCCTGAAAAAGTATAGGTATAGCTAATGTTATGACATTATTAGTTATAGTTTTATTTTAACACAATATTCCTATTTGTGTAATTAAGCTAAGAAAAGGATAGACATAAATTACTAATGTATTGACAAAATATTTTTAGTGACAATAAGAAATATTTTTGAACTGAGAAGAGATTACAAAATAATTAGATTTGATGTAATGAAAATGAAAGTTATACTTATTTTCAAGTAGCTCAGTGGGATCCTCTTAAACCCAACAAAGTGCAGCAACTTCATATGGCATTGATTCAACAAGTGGTCAGAAGAGCTCTGGAGAGATGACAAACCATGTCATCTTAATAGATAGCCACAATTCTTTGATATTTGTAAGTGTAGGATCTTGCATGTGAAACAACTTCTCCAACATGTCATATAAAAGTTCAGTTAGATTTATACCAGGTAAATGTATTGGCCACACCATTCATTGGAAGTCTCCTGAATTCTCTGCCTGACCAATTCTAGGTAAACTTAAACAATTGATGACACAGTACATTATCTTGCTGGAATAACCCATCATAACTGAGGTACAGCAGTATAACATAGTGGTCACCAATCAATAACATGTTCAGGTGAAGCTAAAGAATACTTAACTGACCTGCTGGATATGAATCTGGTACTTCCTGCATAGAATGTGGATGGGATTTGAGCCAGTGTTGATTATCTATTACTGCAGTAATTTCTACCAGATTCTTTTGGTCATGATCTTAAGAACCCAAAGTTGGCCATAGCACTGTCTACCGTGGGCAGCAATACATTGTGATACCACAAATCAAGGGATGTCAAAAATGGAATGTCCTATCTGTGTGGCACCTTCTATCATGGTCCATTTGATAATTCACATCACATTGTCATAAGCAATCTAGCTGGTGCCAGCATTCACTCACAACAGGTTAGCACACAATTATCAATAACTTTACATGTTTTTATACACATATTAATATTTATATAAGCCAACAAATATGTGTTTTTTATATTATTTTGGTGAAAATCACAAACTTTTAAATAAAAATCAACAGATATTAATCAGGGAATGTTTTAAAATACTAATTTACAGATAAATTCCTTTACATTCTTAACTTGAAGTTCAAATTAAAAAATTAAATAATCAGCTGACAACACCAAGGCTAAATAGTGCCGAGTAAGACGTTTTTGGAAAAAAAAATCTCTTCTCCACTTATATTTCATTGCTTCATATAAATCTATTATTATGGTAAAGTCTTCCTTTAGTGTTGCTTCAACTGGTTTAGTGAACACATAAGAATTAATTGTAAAATAAATTGCAAATACAGATTTCATCAAAATGCATTACTTGTCTTACAGTCGAGAAATATAAAACTTAGTTTATCTCATTTTATCAGTTTATTCTTATGAGGATAGCAGATAATAAATCAATTTCAGTAATGATAAAATAAAAATGTATACTTACATATGGAATGGCTAAAAAATAAAATAAAAATATCTCACAAATTATATAATAATTGCTTGTTTACATTATATCAAATAGTAAATTGTTCATAATTACACATATTTCTTAAATTTGTATTATTTTTACAAATATTCAAATAAGTAAATTATTTTTTGGCATGATTATGAACTAGACCTTATATTTATAAGATACTCATAGCTTCAAGTAATGTCAGTAGTTAATTTGCACATATTTCAAATACTCAAGAAGAAAAGCTATGGTAAAATTATTGAAATTACATCCACTTTCCTTTATGAAAACCAATTTTGTGCATATTAAATCAGTTTGAATAAATGCTTTAACATTTTTTAAAAAGTTTTGTTGGTTATTAATTAAGTGAAAGAAAGCCATGATACTCCAAATCATTTATCGTTATTTAATATTAAGGATCAATGAACTTAAAATTATAGAAAAGGATTCAAGAACAATGGGCAAATAAGAAACAGAACCTGACCCAGATAATAACAGCTTCCTTACCCATTAAAATGAAAGATAAAGTATGACTAAATGTTATAGTTTAAGAATAGCAAGTAAAAAATAAATTTATAAATATAATGTATAGACATAATGTAGCCAAAATGAACAACCCCATTGATGATATCAAGGTACAGGTTCGTTGGGAGTTTGCTCATTATTTAAGACATTTGATCAAATAACAAAATAAATTAAGATTTTATTTCTTGGCAATTGTTACATTTCTCATTTATTCTGAATCATACACTTATTACAAGAATATCTTCCAAACAAAATTTTTTCATTCATTTAAATTTGATAAGTTTCCCATATGGTATTCAATTCTATGCTAAGCGAACTGAAGATGTCATCAAAATAAGGACACCAGTGTATAATAATTCATTTTAGAAATTTATTATATTGTTTATTTACAAGAATAATTTTATATTTACAACATTCTAAAAACTAATACAATTAAAAATAATGCAATGCAATATTTATCATTTATCAATTTATAAGGAAATAGATATGAAAACAAATTTTTTATTCATAAATTTATAAGCATTTACTAAATTATTAAAATATGTGAACCAACTATAAGGAAATCCTTATTATTTACCATTTTATAAATTTTGAAACAATTGGCAATTAGCTAATGTTTTACTAACCATTCCAATAAATAATCTAATAAATAAATAGTGTAAATAAACAATCTAATAAATAAACAATATTTATTATTTTTGTTGTTGATTCTTAAGAACAAAGAAAATATATAAATTCAGTTGCATATGTTTAGGTTTTACTACAATTCTAATCATCACTTTTTAAAACAATAAACATTACCAAGGATTGAAGGTAGTTAAAATAATTGTGGTATCAATGAAAAAACTGTCCTCTTGACACAATCTTTTGCATTTTTGAAAAATTGAAAATTAATTAACAAAAAAAAAATAAAAGAAAGAAGAAATCAAATACTTACAGTTGGTACATTCCCCACTTTTATATTTATTGGTTCTTTTTCAAACTGAAAACTGTCAGAGTCAGCAGCTTTGAAACCTGGTGGTTCATAATCAGGTGGTGTAACTAAAAGCAAAAGTGTATTGTGTATTTTAATGTACCAAATATATTAATTGACAAGTTCTGTTGTGGCTATTAGTCAAAGTACTTCTTAAATTTATCTTTCTTATGTATAAATAGGATTATACAATAAATTCTGACAAACCGAGTTAATGTAAACAGTCAGTGTAATACATACATATGGGGTGGGGTGATGAAAGATCTTGGTTTGAACCACTAGCAAAATCTAATAAAATGACTAAACATCATATGTTTGGAGTAAAGTCTTCTTGATTGGGCTAAGAAATTTTATAACATCTCCATCTATATACATGCACACACATCACATCTGTCTTTAAATGATTTATTTTGAGATGGGTTGTTAATATTCAGTATTTGGTGGTGGTGGGGGTACCTACATCTTTGTTATAGCAAATCTCAAGTTGATGTTAAAAATTGCCACAAAACATTATTGATTTATTTAAGATTGAATGATCTATTATGACATGTCTCTAATTTGTATTTAAATACATTGTATTTATTTTCAATTTTTCTAATTGAATTATTCACCTATATTGCATATGATTCATTATTGTACATAATTAGCTGACAATAAAATTCATACTTTATATTAATACTACCTTATGAAAATTGAGATATAGTAGAGTGGGGGGGCTGTATCATAGATTGGGGTGAGGGGCACAAGACACTTGTATGGGTCCTGTTCATAGCTGATTTTTATGATTTGTAAAACTTTTATTGTTGTTTAAAAACATTATAGTCTTTGTGACTATGATAATCAAGAGCATAAACTATTGATCACTTAAAAAAATCAAAGAAAAAAATTAGTACTGGTGCATATATGGCAACATCAAAAAAATTAACAATGAGAAACATAAATATATATAAATCTTTCTTATTAAATAATATATGGAAAAAGTCCACTATGTCATGATCATTGCTAACATTTTAAAAAGAGAAAATCTCAACAAAATAAAAGTCAATACTGAAGCTTTTGTGAAAATTGTCTTTATAGTAGTAGAATCTAGCAAAGTGTTGTATAAAAATAAGTGTCATTGTTGACACTGTGGTTTGAAAGTAGATTGCCAGTGAGTAATGGAATCACCCATGTACTTAATACTAATCAACATCTACTTAATAATGGAATCACCCATGTTGGGTGATTCCATTATTAAGTAGATCATGTGATCATAAAGGAAGTGAATAAATAGGAAGTAGCGTGGTGACTATATGATCACTGTTCACTCTTCTTGTCTATCCACTATTGTTATATGTTACACTCTCTACTCTACTACTATATGGATTACAATTCTCTTCTGATCATTATACCATTTAGCAATTACTAACTAGAACAAGTATTACTAGTGCAGATGTTATTGGAAGGTGTTACTACTAGTTCTGGCATCTACAAAGTCTCAAATATAACAAGCATTTATGGAAGTGATAATGAGCTTCTGCCTGACATAGCAAAAGTGACAAGCAAAATCGTTGAACATCACAAAAATGGAGACAAGGATTTGCAAGGAATCGCAAAATAAGGACACTTAAATTCTGCATAACTGTACGATAAACTAAATTTGGAAGATGGTGAATAAATATATGTAAATATAAAAAGTTATGTTAAAAAAAATGTTAAATGAATGAAAAGAAAAATGCACATGCTTGTATCAATTAACATGGTTTTCAACATGAGAAAAGCAGATTAATTTTGTATTACAAAAAAAAATGAAATATAAAAGTAGAAAAAGTTTTAGTATAATCTGCCATCAAAACCAACAAGATGATGGCATAGTGGATAGAGGAGTTGATTATACATGTGTTAATGTCATCTAGTGGTCATCCCCAGGATCAGGTAATGAAGTATCAGTTCAGCAGAAATGAACAATAATTAGCATCACATTGACAAAAATAACACAATAATCAATAATGGACACCTGAGGATGACCAGAGGGTACTTGGTTGAAATGCTGTATCTATAATAACCAAATTGAGAACAATAGTTCAAAATAATACAAGAATAGAAAAAAAATTATAGTAAAAAAACCTCTTCAATTTTTACTCAATATCTTGAGATTTTTCTAAATCTATTGTCAACCAACAGACAGATTAATAGTAATGGATTAAGAAGCTTAATATATGTTGGTTATATGGCTTAAGTTAAGCCATATAACCAACATCAGCATCAAAATATTCTATGAGGGCCAATCAAATAAACACATGACTGATAAAGTTGTGATATATAAAAGAAGAGATTTTTCTATTTCCATTGAATTTAGTTAAGATTTTTGCTTTTCTTTTCCTATAAAATTCCCTGATTTTTTTTTTTTTGCTCAAACATGTATATCAACAAGTTAACATTTGGTATAGTAGAAAATAATGTTGGATAAAAAATCCATTGATTCCTTAGAAATTACTTTGTTTACATTTTGGATACAAAAAGATGAGCAGTATGAGCTTTTGAAAGATCTGAATGAGAGGGTGTGCATTGGTCAAAAGGGTAATTGAACCTTGCTGGGCTGTGACACTCTCTGTGGCTGAGCAATCTAAATCATGCCAGATCAGATGGTGGTTTCTCCTACAAAGGAGGACACAAAGTGTGAACTCTGTCAGAGTGCACATTTTCTTGATACTTGAATGTGAAGGCTAGTAGAAAAAAAACATTGTGTCTACTTAAACATAGGTATCCACAAAATAACATTTGGCATAGTAAGATATATACAAAAATTGGTTTTAATTATTGAATTGTAAGTAAGATAATCATTAAAATGCATTTAAATATAATGATAAAGACAATAACTGCTCTCTATTCTCTTTACTTGCCCCATCTGTTTCCTCCCTATATGAGATTAACAGTCTCATTTGATGACTCTTTTCCTTGTTTTATCTGCTATATATTTTATTACTATTTTCTATAGACTCAAAATTATCATTATTTTTAACATAATATTTTAAAGGAAATAAAAATATACATAACTTATATGGTGTTGAAAATTTCAAAATTAACATTTTTTGTTTATTATCAAACAATATATATTAACTGTTGATAAATGATGTTTAAGAAAATATTTGTAATTTTATAATAAAAATGAGTATATTTTATATACCTTCATCATGATAATAGAGTTTGACAGTTAGCCACACATCATCCGGCAATGGTTTTAATGTCTGATTAAGAACAATGATAGTTCTTAAAAGTTGGATTGTTGCTTTTCTAGTTTCAGTGGCTGTCTCTGCTCCAGTAATTTTATTTCCATTCCTAGAAAGTAAAGTAATATATATATATATATATATATATATATATATATATATATATATATATATATATATATATATATAAACGTTGGCATGCCTATAAAAAGTAATATTAAAAGAATGAAGAGTGCACAAAACAAGTTATGAAAAAAAAGATTTTAAATTCTGTCCAATTTGTATCTAAGGAGATTTATAATAGTAACTTATTCAATTTGAATTTCTTTGTAGAATTAAATTTAAATTAGTATATTTTTAAATAAAACAAAAACAAAGAGTATACATTAAATAGATTAGAGTAATAAATAATACCTACACAAATATTCTTTTATCTGCCAGGCTATTTTTGATGGCTTTTGTGTGATGTACATGGGAAAGTAAATAAAGGAAGAAAATGTTAAGTATAGAGGAGCTGACATTACCCAATCTCTATTGTATATTAACTGAATAACATATTTTGTTAAACATAATAATTACTAATTTCCAATTTGAAGTCAAAAAAAGAAAAAAAAATCATCTATGCTATTATGATGGATATTAAATTCAATGTTACCTGTATATATCAATACCATTCTGTGTGTATGAAAACTTGAATGTATATGATTCAATGATACTCTAAAAATAAGACAAAAATTATAAAAATTTTAATATTTATTAATATTTTATTTACACAGACACACACACACACACACACACACACACACACACACACACACACACACACACACACACACACACACACACCTCTAGTTAATGAAAAGAAAAACACACACACATTTTTAAAATTTAAAAATAGATGAAATTTTCTCTGGCATCAGTCAAATAAGGTAGATTTGTATACAAATTAAATGAATACTTACATTCAAGTCATTAGGGTTGGTGTAAATCTGAAATGAAAATTAAATTTTCTACCATGATTTATAAATAGAATAAATACATAAAAAATTGTGTGAAATAAATCTTATTTAAATCATAATTGCATAAAAATAAACTGAAAGATTTATTATCTTGCAATCAATTTTTCATGTATTCTCAGAATTATTATTTAATAATGAATATATTAAATAGTTCAAAATATGAAAATAGAAAAACTCATAAATACCAGATATTGAAAGGAACATCTTTTTTGCATATAAGAGTGTCAATCTTATACATGGTATATTAAAAATAACTCTTATAAAAATAACATGAGTTAATTCCCTTGAAATTGATATACGTTGGCATACTGAAAAGTTTTCAGTCCAACCAAAAATCTCCTAAGTGAAAAAAAAAAATCTGATGTTTGATCATCTAGTCAGATTTTTGTTACTTTTCTGCGCCCCTCTTAAATTTACATAATCGTAAATAAAAATGAAATAATCATAATAAATTATTTGTAATTACACTTGGATTATTTTTTCTGTCAGTTGTGATTAATATCAAAGAAACAATAACATTTTTCTTGTTTGCTGTTGTGCTGTCTGTAACTAATAGACAACAATCATTAGACTATTGTTTACATTAGGAATGTTACAACCGGTTGAACTATCACCTAACAAAACCATTTAGAGCATGTATTGAATAATAGCTCAGATGCCCAGTTTAAGAGCAGAAGAATTGTTTTGTTCCCATTGCTTCTTACACTTGAGTTTGTTTAAAAAAATATCTTTTTTTTCTAGGAAAGTATTAAATTAGAAGAACAATATTTATTAATGTTAAATAGAAAAATATTTAACAAAATGTATTACTGATACAGCAATATTCTACAAAGAAGCAATGTTTTCAATACTCACACCAATAATGAGCCGTTCAAGCTGTAAATAGAAAGCAGCAATAATTAACTTGCAGTTTGGAAAATTAAATGTATTATTCAATCTAATTGCATTATCTTATTTTTGTTTTATCTATTCACTGTTCCGATAAGTAGTTTTTACTTAAGATGCATTTTCTGTACAATCATCTTTTTATGGAAAGTCAAATTTTATAAGCAATCAATATCAAATCTTATGAAATGTGACTGTGTCAAAGAAAAGTTATTATTTTTTTAACTTTGCAAAAAAAGAAAACATTAAATTATTTTTGTGTTAACATTTAATCATGATTAAAACAAAGAAAAATTAAAGATAGAATACACAGTAAATTTGTAGACAAATGTGCTATTTTTTCTGAAATTATTAAGAATAGAAAATGTTTTATTTCTATCCTTTAAAAAGTTGATTTCATTTGATTTTAATGACTTACATATTTTTTGTCAAGGGCATCAAAACAACCTTTCATCCACTTTATTACTTGACATGCTCCTGGGCAAGAACTATCATCTCGCAAAATTTTCAAATTTAGTTCTAAAAAATAAATATATATATATATATATGAGAGAGAGAGAGAATAATATAAAATCTTAAGTAATATGTCTGTTGAAATTAATAAGATTTAACAAGAGAATTCCAAATTTATAAATAAAATGTTCTTACTATATTGTAAAGATTCTTAGTCATAAAATATTTTATATAAATTATCTAAGTATAATTTATATAATTTATTTTTACAAGATAATGTATAGTTGATAGAGTAATTTATTTTGGATGATATTACTAACTGTGAACCAACAATTTTCAGAATAATTTTCAAATGATGTACTTAAAGTTTTCTTTTATAGATGGGTAGAATAATTTACATATTTGAGATAGTTATAAAACACTTTAAAAGAATAGTAAGGAGAAAGGAACACTAGCATAAGGTAGAGTTTTAAGTCAAGATGTATTATAAAGATAATGAGAAAATATGTAAAATGCCATGACATTAAAAAACGAAAAAGTGATGGAATATTACTTAAATGTTTGATCTATTTCAAAATGAAATGATGAACATGATCACCTTCAAGACTTCTGTCACCAAATGCTTGTTCTGGAAACATAGCTCTCAGATAAGTGATGTTGGATACAGCTACAGCCAAAAGTTTTTTAACAAATAAAGTGGATTGTTGTTCTGTTATCTGTTCATTTGGGAACATAGAAGACCACTAAAATATTCATAAATGATAAAAACATTAGGTTAAAAAGCATGCTTCAAACATAGGACTGCCATATTCAACAAAAACTCAATATACCTAAATCTGATCAAATAAATACTAAATTCAATTAAAATCAACAATCAAGTAATATTATAAATTTATATAAAAGATTAGTTGCTATAGACATATATATGCATGTACTGTATGTTGTGGGACTACTCAATTTAGTCACAATATAGTCTCTCAAATTAGAATGATACAAACATGCTTGACTTTTCAAAAAACTTTTAGACAGTTTTCTCTAAGAAAAGACAATTTGCTTGTTTCTCAAAAAAGAACTTTTGAAGATGAATCTTTAAATACACTTTATCAACTTTTGTACAAACATTTCTATTTTATGAACTTATAATTATGATTATTACATCGTTTTATACAGAATTTGACAGGTTTCTTCAGGTTCATTCAATATTTCAGTCCTGCTCACTAGAAGAGTTTCCATTTCAAAATGTATAAATAAAAATGAATTCTTTTCCACATGCAAAACTTTTTTTGTCTTTTTCCAAATTTGTAACTGAAATTAACATGCCTCAAAGCTTTATAATTTCACATTGGGCATTGAGACACAAAACCCCCCAGAAATAACTATAATTTTGTAATTACAAATCCCAGTTTGTTAGTTTTGTACTCAGACTCATTTCTGCAAAATGAAGGCATCATGAGTTAGATTTGATAAAAAGACATTCTCACTTCCACAAGAGTGTATGTGAATGTGTATTAGTTGATCAAAAGGTTTAAAATAGCTATTTTTATTTTTAATTACACAAAACCATGAATAAAATCAGAAAATTGTTGGGCAGATCTATGATGCATTTTAGAATGGACATAGGAATTTTTCTTTCATTATTGCAGTGGTTAAAGGCCATCTTCATCTGACTTAAACTTCAGTTATTTCACAGAGGGTCAAATATGACTGAGGAAAACATAGTCTTTTGTTTTTGACATTATAATTTTTCAAATACAAAGGGTTTCAATTCTGAGAGATTTAAGAAAGAGGTACAAGAGAGTAATCAAAAGTTCTTCACCCAACCAAGAAAGGATTCAAAAATAAATTCTGATATTTGCTCAGATTGGGAAAAGTGGTTCAGGCCAAGAACTTTTCAGCACTCCCTCGTGCATGCTTTTAGATGCTGTATATTCACTCAGTGGATAATGTTGGCATATACATAGTTTGTACATGTGTGAACTATGATGTATACTGTTATTGCACCGAAAAATACACAGAAGAAATGATAAAATTTGAGATTGTAATTAATACCAGTTTTCTTACTAACTGCTTTGTTACAAGCAGTAGTTTCATCAGTAAGAGAAAAGATCCTGACCCCTTTTAGAAACTAAGGGAGTTATGAACTGTTATTAGAAAATGGCTGCAAAATGAAACAAATTATTTCTTTACAGAGAATATGTACATACACAATAAAATTAAAGTGACATATCAATTTGTAATTGAAGAAAATAAATGCTTTCAAATGTACTTAAATGAGCAAATTTAGGTTTTATGAAAAAATTAACACTTTTAAAAACAACTTACAGTACTGGTTTTTCCCTGTCTAACTGCTGTTGCTGTTGACATTTTTTCTGCTAGCAAAAAAAAAAATGAATAAAGAAAATGAAAATTACCATTTACAAACCAGTATATCATTTTCTAATTTCTTCTAGCAATGTCAATCATAGCAAATAAAAATTTTAAAATATCTTATGACTTTCTTCACAGCTAATCAATATATATGCATGGAGTAATATTCAATTTAAGAAGTAAGCATTACAAATATTCTTGAAAACTGCAAACTTCAAATGTATCCAGTTTGCTAAAGAACCAATGTATTTACTAGGTTTAGTATCAGTCAGTAGTAGTATATTAGTAGTAGTGAAAGTTGAAAACAATTCAAAGTATTACATTCATGTTGTGATCATTCAATATAATGCTGAATAAATTCTTGTTTTACAATTCATATCTTTATGTAGTAGAACTGAATATATTATCTCATTATCAGCTTCATTTATACCGGGAAAACAATTGTCCATAAGACCAATATTTTATTTATGAAATCTAATTTTAAAATACATTGGCAAAATATATAATCATAAAAATAAACTTACAGGTAAGAAATGGACTATGTACTCATTTTATCCAAACTAAAAGTAATCCAGTTAGTTGACCATCTTTAAATGGTCTTGGATTGACTTTTAGTTTCATCTGCTAAAATTATTTTTTTTCTAAGAGGTTTTAATATGGTGCTAAAATTAGCCCTCAATTTACATGAGGATTCTTTTTTATATGTAGTTTATTTTACCTTTTTGTGGTTGTTCTGTGTCTATTCTTGTGTTTTCATTCTAAGTGGTCACAATCCACTTACATTTCTTTCTAAATGTTCTACACTTTTGAACCTGATTTGGTGGGGGGTTTTTTAATCATGGAAAATGTTTTTTTGTGTTCTTCAAATTTTATTTTTTAAAGTAGAGCTAGCTTTTCATATTGTTGACCACAAGTGCATAGGATGTTATGCAGGTTTTGGTCATATTTTTCTACTGCAGGAACCAGCCTTTGAGAACTTGTATAGTTTTACTATGAAAAACTGCTCTGATATTATAGAGACTGCAGATCCTTTGAATTCTTTAGTAACCTGTCTTGTGAAGGGTAGTGAGACATTTGCCTTTTAAAGAAAGTATATAGCATTTTAACAAACTGGGTTGAGGTTTTTCCATTTTCTATAAGCATATCAAAAATACTAGATTGTTTAATAAATTCTTTACATAAAGTTAATTGTGTTTGCATCAAAGTAACTGCTGTCCATGTCTATGAGGTTTCATTTTTGACACTATTTATACCTTTTCTATCATAGCCAAATATCTGTGTTTTGCTTAATAGAAATAATTAATTTGCATAGTCAACTTTAAAAATCAAATTGTGATCAATAAATATATTTTACATTCATTTCCAATTTGATCTTTTGTGATCTTAATAAATAAGTAATTATTTTACTAATTTTTAATTAAATTCATTACTTATTCAAATAAGGCCAATTCTGAAATGTGTGTTAAATATTGTTCATAAAATAATAATCTAAATTGCTCTATTTACTTTATTTAATAATTGATTCATTTATTCATTTTTATTTATTGAGTTCAAAGAAAAAGCAAGCATTTTATTGTTAAATTGTTATACATAATAAAAAAAGACTGAAATAGAAATTGCATTTAATGTAATTTCTTTAAAATATTTTTTAGATTTTCATTCTTCTTCTGAATTACAAAATGTATAAAACAAACTGTAAAGCAAAAAGAAATTGAAAAAAATCAAATTTAGATCCTAAGATAAATTAGAAATCTGTTTTATTTCAAACTTCTAAAACATTTACTATGTTTTCCAAATTATAAGGAAAAGGAAAAAATTTTACCTATTTTTTAATCATTGGAAAGCATATTTAGCTAAAATGAGAAAATATTAATTTACTGCTTTTAGTTTGCTCTGAATATTAGTAGCATCACTGATTATTTGCAATGTAAACAAAGTAGAATTCCTTTTTCGTTAAAGGAAGTTTTTGTTTTAGGGAAGATGCATTCATCTGTAAATTTTATTGAAGGAATTTTAAAGAAACATTTTGTCCATTTATTTAACTAAATTTTATTGAACTTAACTGAATTTAATTTGAACACAAACTACTGTTATAATTTTGGGATTATCACTCATTAGAGATGAGACTGTTGCTGAGTTGATTAAACATAGTGAATTAGTTTTTGTTTAAGATTAAGTCAGTTGCAAAAAAAAAGAAGAAAGAATTATGATCTTAAAAAATGTACTCATCTTATTGACCCAAACTAACTCTAAGCTAATCCCATGCAACCAACTAAAAACATTCTTATTAAAGAAAAATATCACTTTTCTTCTAATACATAATTTTAGAAAAATTCTTTTTTAATATTCATTCGGGTCTAATTTAGCATAGAAAGACACTTTTGCTTAAATTAAAGACAATCAAATTCTGTCTTGGCATTGATTTTTACAACCAGAAATTCTGTGAATTATAATAATTCCAATCAATTCTACAGTAATTCTTAACAACTTTCTAATTTTTAAAGTTAAATTTACAATCTGAAAACATTTTGTCTGTCATTTCAGTCTCATTAAAAACAAATTGCAGAAAATTTTACAATGCTTTTTGTTTCCAAATAAATTAGCTAAACATCACCATTCTCACCTGAGATCAAATAAAATGTTCAATGGCAAGGTTAATTTGTGGACATAGAATTATTATGTCACACAGTCAATGTTACCTGTGGTCTTTTATCCAATAATAAGAATAGTTGTCAAACTTATAAAATTCATTGAATAAGTGCAGATTGTAGGGTCAGCTTACCTAGATTAAAAGTGAAAAATTAAAATCTGAGTGTTGTGCCCACAAATACAACTTAATGCAAAAAAATGACTTTTTTACATAGGCAAAAAGGAAAACCAGATTGAAATAATCATGTTTATGTACATATTAACATTTGTTTCTACATGGTAAATATTGTGTTTGTTCTGGTCATAAGAAATCAAAGTTCACATGCTTGACAAAATTTTCCATTTGTTAAAGGGTAGTTTGTAAAGTCATATGCCTTGGTCAATATAAAGTGTGTATATATATGCATGTGTCTGAAGCACATTTTAACACTGTATAAGTGGCTGCTGACGGAATGGCTGTGTGCATGGATGAAGTACATTAATAGAAACAGTGATTGTGTGTGTGAGTGCTAATAGGTGGAATCTGATTACAGTGGTTCCAAAAGGAAATGGACATACAAATAGATGATCAGACTTACTTTTTCCCACTGCTATGAATATTTCTTTGAGTTGTGTGAATATTCCTTTGAATGGTGTGTAGCCATCGCTGATGGAGGTGTTGTCATGGCAATGAGAGAATTCAGGTTGGGTGTTTACAGATCCAAACGCTTTTCATTGACAGGTGATCTACATCCAGCTGCTGACTCGGTTTTTGTTGTCTGTGTTTTTATTACCCCCCTCCCCGCGAAATTGGTGTATATATAGTTATCCTGATCACGTGATTGGCTCCAAACAAAAGCTTTTCGGTTTACATGGGATAGCACCCAGTGAGCAGGTCATTTGGAGTTTAAACGTATGGATGTAATCAGAAGCATAGCACGTGAATGTACTGTCCAATCAAATTCCAGAAACCACTTATTTAATTTTGGGTCCTATATTTTTTTTCCAATTTGTATAAATGTTTTTGTTTTAGTGGTTCTGATCCTATTTCCTATGGCCATTTCTTACTTATTTTTGCTTCGCCTATTGGTTGTGAAATACAAGACTTTATATCCTATAAGACAATATTTTCTCTTAATTACATAAAAAGAGTATTCAGTTGCAAGCTTTTATTGATATAAATTATTTTTATGGAAAGGGTTAATGTTAATTAATTTAGACACTTAAATTGTCTTGAAAGGTGAACAAGAAAAATAGTCAAATTATGCAAGCTTTTCTCAGTTATGATAACCTTCCTTAAATTAACATATTTTCCCCTTTTTGTATTCATTTGAAATTGGTATTATTATTTATGAAAGTAGATAAATCAATATAATATTGATAATTATACAAAAACCCAAATATGCTGTTTTGTCAAAAGAATAAGTTATTTTTCTGTTTTTATGAAGTTTGTGGTGTTTTGTCTGATAAAGTTATCATAAATCATATCATGAAGGTTTATAAAATTACGATTTTATTTTATATTATTTGTAATATGTGATATATATGCTATTTTAAAAATAATAATAAATTGAAAGCAATAAAATTTTTAACTCTAAATCTCACTCTAACATTTTGAATTTCCTTGAATTTTTTATTGAAATATTTTAAGATATTTTTAAAATACTTGCAAACACATTTAATTTGGAAATTTTTTAGACATGTGTTAGATTTTTATCTTTAAAATTTGAAATTGCAATAGAAAACTATTGAAAAAATGTTATTTTTTTATCTTCTTTTTTAAATTATTTCTTCAAGAATAAAACATTCATACACTATTTCTCTATGTTATAGTTCTATAGAAAAGTTAATACTGACTTAAAAACAAATAAAGAAGTTGTTTGATTACAATCATTTGAGACTGTTTTTTATTGTTATTGAATCTTTACAAAAGTATTTCGTAGGGATCCTTCAACACTGAAGGAAGATTAAAAGAAAACTGAAACGGTACAGAATTGAAAAAATGTCCTGGAGAATAAACCTAAACATTTCTTCGCATAAAAATCTATGATTCAGATATAAATGTACCTAAAAAAAACTATAGATAAAAATAAACTAATAAAAAACGAAACTTTATTTCCAAGATATAGAAATGATGTTCCTATAATTCGAGTAATAGAAAAATTTTCCAAATTAGTTTTTCAGACATGTTTCAATTGCAAAAAAGATGGAAGTATAGTAATAATAATAAAAAAACATTAACAAAATAAATGCCTTTTCTCTTCTTGTTTGATAATCATAGTGAATAGAATAGACCTTTAGGTATTTTTTTTCATAAAGTAACAAACAAAGATTTTATTTTAGTGTTTTGATAAAAAAAAATTAAATGAAATTAAATTTACCTTTTAGTTTTAAACTTTTTCTCTTAAATTATTTCAATTACACTTTGCACCGACAAGAATATTCTCCTCTTCTATCCGTTCTTCTCTAAACTGTGAACTGATTATAACGAAAAGGCAAGTAAAAGTCGTCTGCTTTAATGTTTTCTCGCTTATTCCACTTTCTTTAGATTTTTATTTTTTACAAATTCACTAAAGCAGCCGATAAAATCGACACCACAGCGAAAGTCACGTGACTTAGGAAAAAATTCCACTTAAAAAAATTTAACTTATTTTTAAAAGAAACATAAAAAAAATGAATTTTTTTTATTCATTTGTTAACACTACCACAGATTAAAATTAACATTTTTCAAATATTTTAATTTTAAAAATCGAATACCCCATCAAAAGGAAATTTAAAAAGAAACTAAGTTAATTTTTTAATAAATGAAAGTAAATAAAGTACACAAAAAAAAAAAAAAAAAAAAAAAAAATTACATATGACCACAAGAAATATATTTTCCTACAATTTAAAAAAAAATTGTACCGAACCGGCTTCAAAACGGTCCTGGTAAAAAACACTTTATGATTTAGAGAATCTTTAAACGTTTTTCCACGGGCAATATACACTACATTTTATTTTCAACTTACAATGGAAATGCATTAATTTCGTTCGAATGTATTCTCATGTGAAATTTATTTATCTCAAACACAAATTAAATGCACTTCATAAGTAAGTTACTTACTGTAAGTAGCTAAAATTGTGATCAGCCATCGACGTGTAAATTGAAACACAAAGCAACAGGTTTATGTACAAAAATATTTTGAAGATAATTGTAATTTTATGGGAAACTTAGGCTTGCTAGATTTACTTAAAATACAGGATACTCTGTTTAAATTTAAATAATTTCTAATATTTTTTAATAAGTTCATCCAATAACACTAAACAGTTGAGTATAGTAACACTTAGTAACAATTTGAATTATGTCAATTTACGAGCAAATTAGAAATCTTTTAAAAAACATTTGAATTGTTTCCTGTTAGTGTTGTGTGACTAATCTAGCAACTTTTAAGGATATTATAAAATAAACTATCTTTAACCTATTTTAGTCCTCGTTAAATCTTGATCAATAAGTGTAAAAAATGTTTTCCATTAATTATTTTTTCAATGTTGCTACGTGCCTACACACGAACAAATAAATATGGCTCAGTATTGCTATAGCAACGGACGCCTATGTCGTTGGTTACAAGGAGACGATGTAATTTACTAATGTTTTTCGCTTTGCCACTTAATTCCATGATATCTAATATTAAAAACAAAGTGATCTTTTGTTCCCCGTTGCTTTCTTTTTAGTAGATGCTGGTATTTTTAAAACCAATTCAACATCATCACCAACTGATTCTGACCCTCCATCGGTAAGCAACATTAAAGAACGTTAGTTAACATTTTTGTTTTCTTCTCGTTGCTAGTCTGTCGAATTTATTTACACAGTTATTGCGAAATTGTTGAACTCTTCAGTTTTCATCGTCATATATTTCGATCAAAGTAAAACTGTTAGAAAAAATTACTTGAAAAAAAATTGAACTTTTCTTTAAGGTGTTCTGAATAAATCGGTCATCATTTTCTCGAGTGGAGTGTCTCTAGAGAGAACCTTAAAGTTGATTGCTCTGAAAAAGAAAGCCAGTCAGCTGAAGAATTATTTATCTAGTTTACTAACAAACAGTAATCGCTACTCCACTGAGGAAAAGTCTGCTGTTACTCTCATAAATTTACCATACTGTCCAAAGAGTTTCATAAATCTCTAAATTAAATAGAATAATTTTAAAATAATTAAAAACATATATAAAATTGTAAATATTGATTCAGATCTGAATAAATTTATGTTCCAGAACAAGAACAAGCATGTGCATAAAATATTTAAATTATAGCATTGATAACAAAATAATTCATAACAACAACAAAAGAAAAAAATAGAAAAAACTTTGCAAAAATCTGTCTAAAAAAAACTGATTACCAGAAAATAATAAAATGAAAATAGTGTGGAGATTAATAAAGAATAAAGAAGGATAAAGTCTCTTTAAAATAAGGCAGTGCTAATTTTGTGAATCAAGATTAAGAGACAATCTAATTAGTTAATAATAACAATATAAAAAAATATATGTCACCTTTTTTATGATTAATATTGGTAAAATTTTAAATATTGATATTTTCTTCTCATTTCCACCGTTGCAGAGTCTAACTCATATTTTAAATATTTGTAAATTTATGGATATAATGTTTGGCTGTATTTTTTATTACAGTATTGGAATATGCTGTATATTTAAAGAAATTTAAAAAATGGTAGTTAATAAAATTTTTTTGTGTGGGACAAAATTATAAATATAAATTAAAAAAATCTTAAGCATAGAAAATTATTAAAGCACAAAATTAGCAATTTCAAATCCAGTGTCAAAACCATTTAAAAACTTCACTACTCATCAGATTCATTTTTTTTCATAATTAAATTAGCCATATTAATATTTAATTCAATTACAAATTAATAGAAGATAAACACATCCTCATTTCTTAATTAATTGACTCTCTTTGATAAAAACAGACATAAGGGCATTTTACAGAAGAAATAAATAGAAATGATTAAAAATCAATTGGTAGATACAGAAAAGCTTCAATCTAACTAATGAACTGACTGCAACTTTATAATATTATTGATGATTGATATACATAACAGACTCACAGACAGAAATTGAGTTGAAATGTTTGCTCAAAAAATCATGACCCAAGACAACAATGGAGAGTACATTTCATATTGTTTACTTTCAATGAATTCTGGAAAGGAAATTGAATTGTTTTATGCATTTTGCATTACAGAAAGTGTTAGAAAACAGGAGTAAATTATCCTAAATGGAGTTAAAATGAAAAGCCCTAAAAAGTACAGATAATATTTACTTTAGGACACATAAAATATGGGTGTCAGAAACTGCAAATTAAAAATTGAGCATGTGGAAGAAATAAGAAATACTGCATTTTGCAACAACCTCTCTTTGTGAACAAGGATTTTTTTTAATTTGAAAACAAATTACAGAAATTGGTTCAATCCCAAAGACAACATCCAAGTTACTTTGGCATATGAAAGACATATTTGGTAGCAATGTTATTAAAAATGAAATAGCATCCTTTTTCCAAAACCTAAAGCATAAATATTTTGAATAAAATACACCACCTGTTGTATTCTGGTACACTTGCATGTTTTTTAGTCTATCAACTGGTGTGTCTTCTTACATTTATGTCTTGGTTAGCTTATGAACTTTTCAGCCAACCCCCTTTCTTCAGTTCTTCAGTCCTTTTTATTAATTTTGTATGTATTCTTTTCTTATTACAGCATATCAAACTTTTTACTTTTAATCTTGAGAAAATTTCATTCTTTTTTAAGAGCAATTAACATTTTTTGTTTATTTTGAAGTGTAGAGGGTTGGGTGGTGGGTAATATCATTTAACATAAAATAGATTTGGAATAATACCCCCAAAATACCCTGACTACTGCATTACTGTATTTTAAGATATAAAATATTGAAGACTCATTGAGTATTAATATTTCTGGGACATATATTAATCATGCAGAACAGAGAATTATGGTCATCTGTATACTTTTTCAATAAGTACAAGAACAAAAACTCCCAAGAACAAGTACTCAGTGATATCAAGTTCTGAAATAGCTGGAATCTGAACCCAAAATGGAAGAGTTCAGTAAAGCTGTTGATGGCCCAAAATGTGGAAAATAATGTAGTGAAGGATGACACCACCCAATATCATAAAATGTGGAAAACCAACTTTACTGGAATCACTTTACAAGCATTTATGTCTCTACCAGAAAGAAAGTAAGGTATTTTAGGAAATATGTAATGCTAAAATCATCTCTCTGGGTGAGGATAAAGGTTACTGTAATAACTTTATGAGTATATATCTCAGTTGAATATTATGAGAGACGTTTTCACTTGGGTGGTCTTAACTCAATTCCAAGTTCTTGCTGATCACATCTACCCAGAATCTTAGTGCAAATTAGGGCTGAGATATTTACAGTTGATATGAATTTTTGCAGGAGAAATGTTGAGAATAGCATATGTTATTATATATACATCGCTTTTATTGAAAACTCAAAATATTTCACTATTATAAAATAAGAGCGTGTTCTTACACCAACTTCATATTCAAACTCTCTGTATAAGTTGTCCACTTATATACCAGAAGTGTGAGAAAGCTTTTCAACTTGGCCCACCTCAGAAACAAAACCAAAGTTTGCACAGCCCTGATCAGATAAATGTTTGATGATAATGCAGCTTTAACCTCTAGCAGTTGATCAACCAGTGTGCTCATGCCTGTAGAGAATTTTGACTATTAGCATCAAGAAAACTAATGTCATGGGTGAGGAAATCCCTGCACCTCCAGTAATAATGCAGAGCTTAAAGTCACTGACCACTTCATTTATCTGGGCTCTGCCAACACTAGCAACCTATTGTTCAACAAGGGAATCAACAAAGACCTTACTAAAGCTGCTAGTGTGATAAGTAAATTAAGTAAGAGAGTTTGGAACAACAACCAGCTGACCTTGAATACCAAATTCAATGTGTATGTGTAACAGGTGTGTGTCCTCAGTATGCTGCTGTATAGCAGAACATCCAGGATGACTTATGACAAGCAGGAGAACCTCCTGGAGAGCTTCCATCATTGCTGTTTATGATATAACCTTAGTATCACATAGTGAGACAGTCACCAACACTACTGGAGCAAACCAGTTTCCTTAGCATGCATCTCTTCTTCTATCATTGTTGACTGTGATGGTTGAATGAAGGTTAGTTATATACCAAAAGATGTCATGTACAGCAAGTTGACCACAAGAGGTCACCCAGTAATGTGCTTCAAGGATATCTGCAAGCATGACCTGAAATTCACAGATATTGACCCAGACAACTGGGAACTGTTTGTAAATGACTGCAGCAGTTGGTACCATGTTATTTCAAAAGGATTCAAGAGAAGCAAGTGTAAAAACACAACAACTGGAAGACAGAAGACAATGTGGAAAACAGAGGCAGAAAACTCAAGCTTTTGATCTATACTCCAAATATGTCTGTAATACTTGCAAGTATTGAATTGCCAAGTTATTACAGACAAAACAAAATTTGTCTGATCAAGATATTACCATTGTTTCATGAGTTAGATGGATACCTACTACAAGAATTAGATTTTATATTACAAATAGCCAAATATTTCTCCAATTTAAGGAATACAAATTTAAGAATAGATTTCTATCATTTGTTTGTGAGGCTTAATTTCAGCAAATAACTATAGCCTTACATGATGTTCTGGCAGTTGCATTATATGTTCATAGTCAAACAGAACTGAGAAGTTCATCACACTGACAGGTTGATGAGATTTTTTACTACATATTCAATTGAAGGAAAACTTTAATTTCACACCTTCAAAACTCTAAACACTTACTACCTGGTTTGTTTTGTAAAAACTATTTTTCTTGACATATTAATAACCTCTAAAACTTATTGAGATTAAAGCTTTAAGAAATTAAATTTAGATTTTGTATATCTTCAAAGATTACATTTTGCCTAATTCATGTTTACAATAACTGAGAATAACAGAAATCTCCATCAAATTTTACTCTTAATTTCAGTTTCATTTCTTTGTTTTTCTAGCTAAAGTCAACATGCCTATGAGTTGTGATGAACCTTATTATTGTTCCCAACAAATTGACATACCATCAGATTTGCCTGATATTATGAAGCAGTTCACTAAAGCAGCTATTCGAACTCAACCTAAAGATGTTCTTGGATGGGCAACTGCGTAAGTATAGTGCTTCTGTAGTGTAACATCTGAAACTAGAGTGAAAATTATATATATATATATATATATATATATATATATATATATATATATATATATATATATATTGGGAAAAATGTATGACAAAGTGGAAAAAGTTTTCTTGTGTGACACGTTTCGTCCTTTAGGATTTCATTAGACTAAATATGTTATGTTGGTGTGACTACATATGTGCATGAATAAGGAATGCTGGGAATTTAACTTTTTTATTTTATATCTAGCCGATTTCATTTAGATTCTTTTTCTTATAGGTTCTATCAGTTTTGTTAAAAGATATCTCACACTGTGATAATAGAAGATCTGCCAGGAAAGATGAAATGCAAGAGCCAGGGCTTAAATTTGTTGTGGATGACCTTGCAATTAAAGCACTCTCTAGACATTTTGTTATATATATATATATATATATATATATATATATATATATATTTAGTTGGATTGGTGTGAGTTTGTGACCCTGGGTTTCACGCTACTTGCAATTGTCAGACAGACCAAGTAATTTTTAAATTTTGGATTTATATATGGTGGTGTATATTGGTGTTTTTATGGTAATGGGAGGAAAAAATGTCATCGGAAATTCACTGATGCTTACGCAAACATACATACATGCACGTTTACTCACACAAACATAAACATATATGAACTGTGTGGGACTGGGCATATATGCGCATCCATGTGTCATTGTGTACATACGTATGCAATTGGTTGCTGTATTTAATGTTTAAAATTTAAATTTAATAATGAATCAGTTTGTCTGATGATCACAAATAGCGTGAAAACCAGGGTCACAAACTCACACTAATCCAACTAAATATTTTAACTCTATCACTGATATTGAGCACGTTTCAATAAGTACTGCACAAAATATAACATATAAATAATATATATAAATTACATATATATATATATATATATATATATATATTTATATACACACATTTTTATATATATATATATATATAATAAAAAAATTTTGAATTTGTAGGTCTGATGATTTGGATCGTATTTACGATTCCAATGGAATAAATTATGACCATGGAATATTAGTGTTTAAATTTTTTTATTATATCCTTACTCTGTCCTAGACATTGAGTTCTACCTGGATCCTTCCTCTTGGAAAATTTTTTTTCTGAAAATATACATGTATGGGAATTTTTAGATATATTTTCATATGTATGTATATTTTCCACTAATATTATCTATATATATATATATATATTTATATACACATTTTTATATATATATATATATATATATATTTATATACACACATTTTTATATATATATATATATATATATATATATATATATATATATACACATTTTTTTATATATATATATATATATATTTATATACACACATTTTTTTATATATATATATATATATATATATATATATTTATATACACATTTTTTATATATATATATATATATATATTAATACAACTGAAGAAATATATGAAAATCTTGAGAATTTAACATTTTTAAGGCTAGCAAATTTCTGCCAAAAAGTGCTCAGTTGATAAGCAGAGCTATAATATTCATTAAATTATGAAAAGTTCAGATGACTTATCTGATTGTCTGGCTCAAGTGTTTTGTGTTGAAATACTCATCAGGGCCAGAGATTTGATAAATCTATTGAAAATATTAACACATCTCATATTCATACTGCTTGAAATAGCTTCTATCATTTTAAAATTTATAAATTTTAAAATCTTACCACATTAAGTTTTAGTTAACACTGTAATAACAAGTGGCAAAGACAAAAGGCTTGCCAAATAGTAGGACTGACACCAGTAATCAAGTTAATGTTACTTGTGACGATTGTTCTTGCCCTCTACCAAAGCCATAGACACAGGAATTGAGAAAAGATAGCAATACTCAAAAATCAGGAATAGCTGATGATTAATAGTAGAAGCACAAAAAGCATGCCAAAATGGATACAAAAATTTGAAGGTTCCTCATTCTAGTCTCTCAGTCAATCTACATTTGAATGAGGTCATGTATATGCATCTCATAGAAATTTCTTGACTGCTTTCTTAGTCATGTGTAAGTTACCTCTTTTGCTTCATCATCATTGGAGAACTGGTGTCCTCTGAATGTTATTCAGGTGTTGTTGTGGTGTCCTCCCTCTAAAGAGTCTATGGTGACCTCTTCTGCTTACTATAAGATTAGTAGGAGAGAAGGCATTGGGGGAACAGTTGAATAGATTGAATGCTGGGTCAACTGACACACACTCACTAGTCATGTAATACTCTTCTGTTGTACTTACTGTTAATATATGGAATATCTGCAACACTCATTTTGTTATTTCTTTAACCATTTACTTGGTCACAACGTCTTGGTGACAAAGGATTCGAAGAAATGAACTTCACGTTAAATCATAAAATTTTTTTTTGCTAGTATCTGCAACAGTGGTGAAGAAAGGAATTCTAATCAAACTTTGCAACAAAAGGGTATCCAGTGTTAATTACAACACTGACAGTGAAAAAAAGAAACTCCTCAAAACAATAGGATATCTACAAGTTCAATTCAGTGGTTGGGAAGAAGGTTGGTGTGGGTTTTTATATACTTTATTCTGTATATTTCGCTACATACGTTTTGGGACTTGTAACCTTCTTCAGGCAAAAAAAATGGTTATTTCCACATTATTTGAAGGTTTGAACTTATTCTTTCTATGTTAAATCTTTTAACTATTGTCTTTTGTGTGTAGTAGTAGTCATATGAATCCATGTTGGACTGGCTGAAAAATGTTCATCTGGTTGAGGGTTAATAAAACAATTAAATTTGGTCAGAGAAAAAGAAAGAGAGGAAGATGTATTTGTTCTTATCTTTTTGTCTCCCTGTATCTTTTTGTGGTGTCTTCCTTCTTTTATTCTTGTGTATTGTGTGTGTATTTTTGCCAGTATGTGTATATATATTCTTTCTTCATACATACATATTTTATTATTACAAGGAAACCTATATAGTATATATATACACATTTTGTATGGTGTGTAGGGTTCATGTGTGTGTGTGTGGCCCATCTGATGTGTTTGTTTTTATCAGTATGTGTGTATACATTTGTTCTCTATACATATATATTATATATTATATTATTATCAAGAAGCCTATATAGTAAATACATGCATTTTGTATGGTGTATTTGTGTGTGTTTGTGTGTCTGTCTGTGTGTCTGTGTGTGTGTGTGTGGTCCAATGTATATGGTGTGTGTTTTGTATGTGGGGTTATGATTTGTTCAGTGCTGGTTTAAATTTGTCTATGAAGTTTTTTCTTGTATTTGGCATAATTTTAAAGTTACTCTTGCTGCATCTGTGGATGTGTTGTGACTCAAAGAATTTTTTGTTGTCTGGTAATTTAATGTTGCTTTTGTGTAGGGAGACTGTTGTTTAGTGCTTGAGTGATACCTACATAAGATTTGTTGCATTTTGTGCACCTGAATGCATAAATTACATTTTTGGAGTAACAGTTTAAGTTTTTCTTCATTGTGAATGTTGTGGGATTTCAAAAGTATAGGAGATTCCCTCTATAATTACATCACAAATGTCACATCTTGTTGCATTATGTGACTCCTTGTATTGTGTTGACTAAATTTGGATGAGGTTAATATGTTTTTTAGGTTTTTTGATTGGCATTTGCTTTTAATTATTTTGGTTGTTTTTAGTATATATTTCATTTTATTATTATTCTTAAGTAGGTCTAGGTTTCTTGTTATTTCAGTAAATAGTTCTGGATTGTTCTTGTTATATGTTGAGATGTATGCTAGAATTTGTTTGTTGTATTTCTTTGGGTTTTGTAGTTGGTCTAAAGGTATTTTTCTGCTAGTTCAGAACCCTTGTTTATTAGTGGTGTGGGGTATCCTTGTTTTTGATATTTTTACATAATTCTTCTAGGTGTTTTTTTTTAGGTGTTTGACAGTCATTTATTGTGCACATCCTATGTGCTAGGGAATAGGGGATTGATTGTAAACAACTTTTTGGGTGATTCTTAGATATTCTTTTTCCATTCTTAGATATACTCATCAGAAATAGAAATAACCATATTATCACAGATATCTACCACAGACCCTCAGACACCCAACAATATCTCCATTTTAAAAACCATCACCCCAAAAGCTGTCTGTCTCTGTCTGTCTGTCTGTCTATCTCATATATATATATATATATATATATATATATATATATATATATATATATATATATATAAATTTATTTGTTTAAATGTTATTTTTAAATGGATACTCATATTTAAGTAGATTCTCTGTTTTTATTTACTTATTAAACAATATATTTATTTAATTACATCTACCAGCCTATACTATATTTGAGAATTCTTGTTAAAAAGAGCCTCTACTATATTTGAGAAATCTTGTTAAAAAATTAGTATCCATTTAAAAAATAGTGTTTAAACAAATAAACTAAAAATTGTCGGATTTAATCCATTTCCTATATATATATATATATATATATTTATATATATATATATATATATATATATATATATATATATATATATATATATAAAATGTACCAATTTCCAGCATGGAGATTTTAAGATGCAGGATGCAATATGATCTTGAAGGTCTTCAGCAATATCAACTCCTGAAATTGTTAATCCTGTTCATGACCCAATTTTGCTCAATCAATGATTCTCCACCAAGCAAATTCTTGAAACACTAGTGATATCGAAGGAATGCATTCAGGAATATTATGTAGAAGCTCTCAACCAAAATTAGTTTCCAAAATGTTTGAATTGCAGCATTTTAGAATGACTTGTCACTGTTGATGAAACATAATTACTCCACTATATCCAGACTTCTTATAATCAAAGCCTCTGAAGAAATACAAATCTTAGGAAAGTATACAAAAGTAAACATCAACTAAACTCTTATACTAACTACCCTACTATATGATGCTGAATTGAGTGTCATCTACCACCAACACCAACACCCAATTAAAACACTTTCATAAGCACTGTATCCACACCAATCTCAGTGTACAAAAGTATAATTTAATTATTAACACTAAAATTGTCATGATTGCAAAAGACACAAGCATGACTACCATGCTTCATAAGGTATACTTATGCTGGGTAGTTCATGTGGCAAGAATGGAAGACTGTTATATACCTTTATTGTTCAGTGAATGTTTCATCTGTTATCTGCATTCATGAAGTCAAAGCCAACAATAATTATTGGAAATGTTCCTTATTTTTGGCAAGCAATTTAAGATGAAATATAAATGATCATCATAAAATAATGTAAAATCTTTACTTTTCTGATTTTTTAGATACTTTATGGCACTTCACAAAGGAGAAGAGCCTCCAGTTAAAGAACGGTATGAAATGCCAAAAGCTACACAAAAGACAGACTCTGGTCTAACAATTGGACTTTTGAAAGTTTTGAATAGACAGGTAAGTAACCACAAACAGAATATTTACTAAATGAAATTTGCTATAAAAAAGAATAATCAATATAAAATAAATCTATCTAAGATTATTTGGCAAAACTATGAAGTTTTAATGTTGTCATGGGATTGATTAGGAATATTAAAAAAAACACTTAACAAATACATGAAAGTATATTTTTATCATATCGTTCTGATTGACTCATAATGAAAAAACTCATTCACCTCTATTTATGTTTAAATTCTTGAGTGAAATTACCATATATGTCATATTTTAAATGTATATTTTACAAGATCATGACCATGAATCAACTACTTTATATTAAGGCACTTTTTAAATGTCTATCCTATTAGATAACAATTGTGTTTAGTGTATATATATATATATATATATATATATATAGTGTTCAATGTGGTTTGTGACTAAAATTAGTGGGGGTGCTGCTTTAGAAAATTTTTAGCTATTGTTTTAATGTTGTGTAGAATAATACAAACACATAAAAAGAAAAGTTATGCATAAACTTGATAAAATCCTAAACAAAAAAAATATTTTTTATTTACTTACAGTTCAACAAGCTTGATCCATTTATTTAAAAATGAAATTAATTCTTGTTTTACTTTAAGCAAATAGGTTAATAATTTTCTCCTTGATCCTTGGATGACTGTTGAGGAAATGTTTATCCATTGAAAGTATTACAAGTGCGTTTAGTCTTTCAGGATTTATAGTGCTTCTTAGAAAAGTTTTTATCCTTTTTACTGTTGAAAAGCAGCATTCTGGCTGTCATGGGAATTGTCAAGAGGATTTTTATGAGTTTCATAATTTCACTAAGAACACTATCAAGATTATTTTCCAAGATAAATTTCAGCAGCTTAATTAATTTGCAATATTCATGCATATCGGATCTACAATAGAATACTTTTAGTTCAGTTTCAAGCTTTTCTTTGTCAATCATGGGATATGATTCAGAAGTCAGTACTATCTATTCTATGGTCAGTTCATTCTTAAAACTAATGAGTCTTTTCTTGTTGGACAACTTAGCAGCTGTCCATTATGTCAACACATACAGTCACATGCTTCCTTTGCTTCTGCTATGAATGTCTTTGAAGGATTCTCACAGTACTTTGAGTTTCTTATTTCTAAAATAGCATTTTTGAAATCTGTTATACATTGACTTTAAACATAATTATTGTTATATCATTGACTTTAAGCATACTAATTTCTTGAGATTGCATTTTGTTGTAAATTACTTCAGCATGAGGCATAATCTGATGAATGAGCTCTCACCAAAAAATGAAATTATCATCATTCAGGCATTGTAAAATTCCTGTTGCTTTGGCAATGGTTTGATCTGCATTTGACTGAATTTTAGTGTGACACGCATTGGTGGTTGCGGTCACAGTGCCAGCACCAATATGGGACGTCCACTGGTCATGATGAAGCCGTAAGGTTGCTTCCACCAGCGTTTTGGGGTTGACTCCTTGTTGCTGCCACCAGCCTGTATCCCGGTCAATCTGGTCTTTTCCAGTTCGATACCAGCTTTGTCATTCTCAGCTCGCCTCCAACGCTTGGTCACTGAAGTAACTGCTTTGATCTCAAGTCTAACCTACCCACGTTGTGACTTTGATCTTAGGTAGATGAAATCAATCAGGCGTCTGGCTGTAGTGCAAGCTGAATCCAGGATAAAGGTGATACCGCACAAGCGTAAGTAAAAGAAAAATAATAAAACAACTCACGAGGTTCAAATATGTTAAGAAATAACAATTAACTTTATATATCTGTTGAATACAGGAGTGTGTTTCTCTCCCGGCCCATTTCTATGGATTCATGACACTTTTTGCATTTCTTAAGCGAGTTATGGTATCTTAAGTCGTTCGTCAATAAAAAACTTGCTTTTGGTAGGAAGACTAAGTCAAAAAGGACGTGGAAATCTCGGTCAGCGCCTGCGAGGCACTATTCTCCGAGCCCAACAGCTCTCTGTCGATCTGTGTCTGTGTCTCCGATCTCCAACCCAACTCAACGCCTGGGGATCTTCATTTATATGGACACCAACCAAAACCGTGTTGAGGCCTGTCGTGGTTTGGGTTCTTTGACAATTCTCAATTCCCAACAAAAATTTTCTTTGTTCCCAGGACAGGAAAATTTATTACTTCTCATCACTTTCTCCTTCGGGGGTTTTCTCCCTCGTCTGTGAGGAGAAGTAAGAGGAGAATTATCCTCCTAGACTCTTCCTTTCTCATATTGGTATCTCATAACAATCCTCTTATTGGGTGTCAATAACTTCCCCGCCTGTCTCATGCATTCACCTTCGCCTATCACTCACGCCACCACTCAGCCAATGATCACTCGGTAGCGTGGGTGTGGCTAGACCTGGCCTTCTTAAAATTATCACCCAGAAAAAAATTCTCTTTTCTTTTCTTTCCTTCTTTTCTATCAGCCAGAATTCTTATGAATTCCACATGGCCATAATTAAAATTTTATCTTATCCTGAGCCACCCAAAATCCACTTAGCAGAATCTCCACTGATTCATTAATCACTGCTCGTCAACTTTTAGACTGGGTGGTTGTTTTTACTTGATAATCAAATTCTTTATTTTTCTCGTGTCTTAAAATTTTTGTATCACCAGATGTTCATTTTCGAGTCACCATGTCTGACAATAATAATGATCCCCTTCTCGACTCTCTTTTCTCATGTCAAGATCCGGACATACAACAAATAGGTCTCCTTGCTGGACACAAGAACCAAAACTAAATGATATCTCTGAAAGATAATTAGTGGCTATTCTTTTAGGGTGGTCTCACTGAAATTCCTCCACGGTTGCATGTGTCGCCCAGCTTTGTTTATCTTTTAGAATTCTGTTTTCCTTGCCGCGTCACTATCTGATCATGACATTAATTAATTCTGACAGAATCCGAAATCTGGTTTTCTCTTACGGATTTTCTGCCTTCAAGTAAAAAAAGTATCTTTCTTCGTAAATGAAATAAAATCTTTTCCTATTCATTTATTTTTTTGTTAAAAAAAATGTCGCTCGGTCTGTCTTTCATTATAGCTCTTTCTCGCCTTAAGTATTTCTCGTTTTAATTTCTATGCTTAATTAGTTAGCCAATTACCATAGCTAAATAGTGTCACATTATTAAGGCAGATCTTTAAAAGTTGCAAATTTTCATGAACATTTTCATGGGCCATATTTTAAAATTCCACCTTGTAGAGGATGGATGTAGAATGCTGATATGAGAATGGATACATGTGATGATTTTGAGAAGAACGTTGGAATAGTCAAAATGTTAGAGAAAAATATTCTTGCATTCTGTTTAATTTCTGCATTTCTCATTATTAAATTAAGTTGATGTGCATAACAGTGAATGAAATGTGCATTGCTATAAACTGCTTTTATTTTTGCTTGAACTCCACTTTTTTTTGCCTTTTATGACATTTGCACCATCAAATGTCTAAGCTATCAGTTTTTGTCCATTTCCTTGAAGGATTATGTCCAACTGTTCTAGAATACATTTTGACAAGCCATCTGCAGTTTGATTGTGTGGAATAAAGAATAAAAAAAAACACTCAAATATTTCTTCATTCAACACGTGCTGAGTGTGTTCCAAAACATCTGTTGTGTCATCAACCCTGACGGCTACAAAAAAAGCTTCACTAATTTCTGTCCTTATCTCCTCATGATATATTTATAGCAAGCAGTCAAGTATCTCATTCTAAACAGTTTTAGAAACATCTTTGAAAACTGTACTGGTTTCTGATTCTTCAAATCTGGATCTAATTTAAATGAAAAATTTATTAATCCTCTTAAATATCACTGGATTTACTGAATAATCTTTTTCATCATATACACATAAATTTTAATGTTTCCACAAAATGAAATACAGTCTATTAAAATTTCATGGTTCTTTTTAACCATAATATTATGATCATTTATTGAAAGTCTGTATGCCTCACTAAGTTTCTCCTTAATATTTACATTTCCAAAAAGTGACTGTGAAACCACATTTTCAATATCCTTCTTTGACTTCTCATGTTTTTCAGTTTTTTCTTTCATTTTGTTTATATTTCTAAAATAAGCTTTTGTCAACATTACATCACCTCCAAACAGCAAATACAAGAAGCAAAACAATGCATTTTTCACTTTACATCCGCACAGCCAACTTTTCCGATGATACCATTCAGAATTAAAGCTATGAATATACCTCTTGTTGTTGCTTATTCCTGCTGAAATATTTGAATATCAGGTGTTGAACAGCCTCTTTTCTTAAATGTAACTTTCTCATGGAAAGACAACTGTGAAAATGAAAACTTAAGCTGTTGAAGATCACTTACTGTCACAGAACTTATTTCTTGGGGATTTATACAATTTTCTATACAATAAAACAATAAGAAAATATAGAATAGCTGGAAGCATGATAGTCATCTAAACTTTATCCCATTCAAGAATAAGGTACACAGTTTTTAAGCACAACACACGTCAAAAATAAATACTACCATATATTCGGACAACAGGGTCAGCACTGCATGAGTGACAATGCTCTCTCTAACTAGTGTTCAGCTTCTTTCCTTGGAAATGTGTTCATGTGCACAACAGCCAAACACTACAATACTGGAACAGTGAAGCACACAGCTCTATACAAGGATTTTTATAATTTTTTCATGAATGAGGGGATGGCTGCCGACATTAAGTTTAAGGATTATATAATGTACAAGTATAAAGAAAGAATTAAAGAAAAAAACTTATTATATTAAATGTTATCAACAATATCAAGTAAAAATAAGGGGTGTTGCAGTTCTGCAGTACACAAGCTGAACAGCAATCCCTCTTTTATACAGATTTTGTTAAAGATAACTGACAAGGTTTTCTTTTTTGGATACAAAGTGTGTGAAAAATGGCCAAATGTTCTGCATATCTAAGGACTTTCAGCTATTCTTTTAACCATTATCATAGTCTAGGAGCTGATTTGGGTTTTGTGTAAATTCTCATGTTAAGAGATTTTGACTTTGGATA